GCAGCAATGCACACAGTATCAATTAATATAATTTAAAGAATAGTTCTAATCTAATAATTTAAATTAAAAATAGAATATCTTACTTGAACTTGCTGAATTTGTGAATTGACCATTCGAGGATCTGATGCAATAGGTCCTAATACCTGAAACATTTTTTCTTTCTGTCCTAACCAGTTATTCATAGCATCTTGGGAATCCTGGAAATCTTTCAAATCCTGTAAGAATTTTGATTTCTCTTTGACGGCAGATAACAGCTCATTCCATCTTTGACCTGAAAATTACATGGTATTTATTTCATAAAACTTCATTATTTCTAAAACTTCATTTACATTTATCCAAATTTAATTACATTTTTAAAGTTTTTTAAAAAACCAGTAACTTACCAAGATCTGACATTTGCACCATCAAATTGTCAATACCAGGAGTGGCAGGTTTGCGACGTGCAAGATCATCCGTCTGATTTTTCAATCGATCTACTTCTAATTGTCTTTCCAGCATATCCTCTTGTATTGCCTAGAAAACATTAACATAATTATTTACGCATTTTATAAAAATACAATGAAAGTTACTCTAGTATTTGTTCCATTTTTCGAGTTTAACAATAAAAAAAATAAATAAACATCTTTTTAAAATCTTACATTAGAAAATCTAGTTTGCAATAAAATTGATTCATGTTAACATCAAAACCTTATTTATAAAATACATTCTTTTTAATTCATAACACAATTTATCAAAGCTTTGACTTTTACTTGCATTTAGAAATTATGATTCATCTACAATTAATTTAATAACTGAAATTACCGGTGAACAGGTGAATGGTTAAATTTAAAAAAATACTGTATGTGTGCACTAATAGCTGAATTGCAGATTTTAAATATGCATCAGACGGTTTTAAAAATGCATAAGCATAAAGATTTCAAAATTTGACATTGTAAAATGGTTTGAAGCAACATGCTAAATTGATCAGTGCACATAGGACTTAATTATAAAGACTAAAATTTTAAATAGAATGTACATAACTATATAATAATTATATCATAGTTTAAGCAAATTCTACTCAAAATAGAAGTAAAGAGAAAAGTATTTTTCTAGCTTCCTCAATAGAATATTTTACCAAAATACAAAATTTGAAAAATTAATTTTTTATTATAAATTAAAATATATTATGATTAACTCATACATTTTGCTATATATATCAATTTGATCCCCCTCCCCAAAGGAAGGGTTCAAACAATAAAATATTAGACATCTTGTCCAATAAAATACAAATGTACCATTAAGAAACAAGTAGTAAGATACTAATGAATTCAGTTAAAAAACGGAATTTTTACATATACCGTAATTTCGCGCGTATAGTCCGCGGACTATCTGTGTTTAAAATGCGAATTTTTGAAGCTGCGGACTATCCACCAGTGCGGATAATACGCTGGTTGTTCACGGTTAAAATCGTTGAAATTTAAAAAACACTAGATTAAATTAAAAAACACTAGATTAAGTTGAAATTTAAAAAATACTAGGATTTTACCCTGTTATCGTGAACTACCGATGATCAAATATAAAAAAAGGCGCGAGATTCCAAGAAAACATTCGTATGTATTCGTATCGATAGTAAACCATAGAGCATAGTGCAGAACGAATGAGTAGTAGCAAGTAGAGCTCCCTAAAATCCAGGCTGGCGCATCAAGCGATATGAGCCAAGAAGTCTTGATATGAGCACTCACTTAGCGCAACCAGAGTCTTGTATCCCAGTATCCTTCGCACTGCTTTAATACGCAACTGACTGCCAGGAGGGGGAAAAGTAGTTGATGCGTCAACTCGTTTATATGCGTTTTAGAAGCCTTAGTAGCAAGTACCTGGAGTACGAAAAAAAAAAAAAAAGCGTGATTTCGTTTACTTATAGCGTGGTTTGGCAACACCGAGTGAGTGGGGTCAAAGGTCACATTTCGTTACCACTTATCACGAGGTATAGCACGTTTGCACAGTATTTTGTTTGCGTATTTTTGTCTTTCATCTTCAATAATGTTGATGAAACATCGCCGGAGTTTCTGCTGAGTTAAACTCAAGGTAGTTGACAAAGATGGAAATAGAGAAGCGGGCCGTTATTGGTTTAATCCTAGTATTCGGTGCACACAGGATTTGGCTACTTTATGATGAGCAGTGAAAACGGGAGATATACGATGAGTAGTTAACGGGTCATTCAAAGAAAATATATAGTTAAACATAGTATATAGTATATATATTATGTGTGTATATACATATACTATGTGTGTATACTATATATATAGACGTTCTTTGGATCATTTTTGGTGTTGGCGATAATTTTCAAAGTCGCGCCAAGGCTGCATCGTATACTAGGATTTTACCCTGTTATTTTGCAGTGAGAAATTGGCACAAACAAAAGGATGTGTTTAAAAAGCATGGGAATATTGCCGTATTAAAAAAACGTAATTTCGGATGTATAGTCCGCGGACTATCCAGTGGTGCGGACTATCTGACGATTTTTGAAATTTTTTTTATATAAAATCGTGTCTGCGGACTATACGATGGTGCGGACTATATGTGCGAAATTACGGTATATGTGTAACGTATAACAAAATACAATAGCTGCTTTAAAAATAATTGGTGACCTCAGAATTAACATTCTAGATTTGGTGATCTTCCCCTAAATTCATCTGTTCTCCCAAATTCAAGTGTCTTCTACATTATGTAACAAAGTCAAATTAACCAATCATGGACTAGATCTACTTATACCTCAGATTTAGTATAAACACCACTGGCGAGTTAATTGTGTCATCAATCCTCCCTTTCCTGCTCTGTAAACATCACATCGCTTTACTTTTGGTTAACTAACTACGTCATTTCTTGTTAAAAACCAGTGTAGATAGAAATTTATCGTATTTAATTATGATTGAATACAAGTGTCTGCCCAAGTAATTGGATATGTGTGAAAATAAAGACTGGTGATTTATCGAAATTCAGTTTTGTTGCCTTCATCTGTATGTCTTAACCACAGCCATGACGAATATCGAAAGCTGTTAAGAGTTCCAGGCTTCGACTGTGCATTCCAAATCATTACATATATACGAGGGTTGGGGCAAAAGTCACGGCAACTATTTTTTTCTTGTAGATATGTGAACGAATCACAAAACGTATGTGTGTCATGTGGAAGTTCTGCAGGCATGGTGTGTATGCAGAACAACAGATGGCTCTGTGATAGCTGGCTTTGTGGTAGCGAGGGCTCTGAAATCAGTCAGTTGGTGAGCGCTGTGTGAGATGGAAGTAAGTGTTGAGCAGTATGCTTACATCAAAATAGCCGTTCTCTAAGGAGAAATGCGATGGAACGTCACAGTGAATTAGTAGAAGCCCTTTGGAATAATGCCCTACCATATCGTACAGTAGCACAGTGGGTACGAAAGTTTCAGCAAAGACATGTGTAAACCAGTGATGAGCAACGTTTGGGACGACCGGTGAGTGTGCGGACCGACTTGGCATGTGCCGTCATCAAGCACCTCATAGATGAAGACAGACGATGGACATTACTGGAGTTAGAGAGGGCAATTGGTATCGAGAAACGCACCGTTCACAAGATATTGTATAATGAGCTAGTGTCAGAATCTTTCCTCAGTCAAATTGATGTTGATAGTCGCGTATGACATCAAGGGTGTCATTGCTCGCCAGGTATGACGTGGCATTCGGGATAAACGTCCAGATCTTGTGGACAGTGCAATAATTCTGCACGACAATGCAAGACCACATAAAGCAGAGTGTGTACGGCAGCTACTCCGACGTTGGGGATGGAAAGAATTGAAGCACCCATTGTACTCTCCTAACCTTCCGCCCTATGACTTTGATCTCATTCCCAAGATTAAGGAACCAATACGTGGTTGGCGGTTTGCAACATGAGAGGGCATTGCTAATGCTGTGTGCCAACAGATGACCCGATTCACACATGGTGTGGCAAGTGCTGAGGCTTATGGTATTCAGCGCCTCCCACATCCTTAGCAGCGTGTGGTGACAGTATCAGGGGACTACAATGAGGGTCTTTAGGCCCAGGTTTGTCATGTTAACTTTATGTGTATTGTGTTATCATTCTTTTGTACGGTGAAGGCTATATTGCCCTGTATACTACCGTAATAAAGTCGTATGTTACGATATTTCAGTGCTATTCATTGTCCACACATGTAGTTAAGACCTTGCCCTTTCATCTATATATGCAACATTTTTCAACCGGACTGGTATCTTCAAGACAAAAAATAGTTGCCATGACTTTTGCCCCAACCTATGTATATATATATATATGAAATGTAATTTCTCATACATTATTTGTTTTGTGCAGCCGGGGCAACAGGAATGAGACAAATTTTGGAATATAAAGTGGTAGGTTTATTTTAGCATCCATCTCACAAGCGTTTCTCCTCATACCTTGAGCAGAAGCCGAATTTATACATATGTGTGCGTCACGAGGCTCCTCCAATCAGCGATATTAATTGAAATCACGAGGTGACGCTATCTTCTCATCAGGAGTGTTCTTAAGTACTTTATGTAATATGACAGATTTATGAGTTTGGCGATTTGGCGGGCGCCAACAGGTTTAATATATTTTATACTAAAGAAAGGATTTCGCCAAAATTTAGGAACAGGGATGCAATTTAGGTAGAGAATCACCAACACATTATTAAGCAATATTAATAAAATTTAATTTAATAATCAATTGATTTAAAAATATCATTACATATATATATATATATATATAAACTCATCAAATTGTCAATCAAAAATAGAACTCATAGAATATGTCCATATATAATTTCACATATATTCACATTAAAATCATAAAACCCAAAGCCAAAAAATTACAATTCTATACTAAAAATGAAAATATTTATTTATCAAATACCTTTAAGGCTTGAAGTTGCTTAGCAGCCTGTTCACGGGTAACTGGCAGTGGATCCTTTGGTAATTGCCTTTCTTTTGCTTGCACAAAATTCAACAAATTCTTCAAATTATCTAGATACACTTTAATTTCATCCGAAAAGGAATTGATTTCTTGGGATCGATCAGATAATTTGACACCAAGTAAACTGTATCTGTGATTAATTTCAGATAATTGTTGCTGAATTGGGGTGAGGTCTACAAAAGACAAAAAAATTATTAAAAATGTTTATACAAACACAATTTTAAAAACTAACAGGCATCTAAAAATAATAAACGAAATTCAAACATTTTACATTCATATATAGATGAATGGAACTCATATATAGATGGATATATTAATGATGTGTACATTATGATATTTCATGCAGTTGCTAACATACAATATAATTTTAATAATGAAGTATAAAAAATATTACAAGAAAAAATGAAATTAATTAAAACAAAATTTGAACCTCTAAATATAAAGTCTATCTTTGGGTGGGGGAAGCAGAAAAATATAATGTTAAGTATACAATACCAAAATCAAGAAGTATAATGTACCAATAAATATCCTGATAAAAATCATTTCAAAGTGTCACCAAGTTATTGCAGTCTTTATTGCATGAAAATCTCACAATCAAATAACCACTGCATGGAATTATTTTACATGTGTTTATTTCACATGGTTTTTAAACCAGATTACGAAGACGGGAAATTTATTCTCTGTGTAAAACTGCAATACAGTACATTTTCCAAAAACTGTAGAGAATTGTATGTCAATTCTTTTTATGATTTTTGCTTTAAAACAGTACAAAAAAAATTTTTTATATCATGTTGAAATTTTAAAATGAGACGTGTATAATAGTGATAAATTGCTAAGAATATTTTGGAAAATTAAGTCTGAGATTCAAACTAAACTTTACTTGAAACCCACTCCATTTGATTCTCTTTCTTTTATTATTAATAAATTCCTATTATATGAATATAAAACATACCCCAAAACAAGCAATGTGAAATACATATATATTTTAAGAATGATTATATAAAGTGAGTAATATAGATAACTAAAAACAGAGAAGATAAAGAACTGAAAGAGGAAAATCAGAACTCTCTGATATTCTATTATTATTGAATATGCAGAATTTGAAATTTTGTAGCATACTGTAACAGCTGGTATCCATTGGGCTTCAGTCGAATAACAACATTCATACTGGGCTCAATGCCTGGCATTTGACTAACCGCCTGCAAGTATTACGGTTTTTATCATATATAAAAGAAAAATACATTTTCCTCAATAAATTTTATGCAAAGACAAACAATCTTGTGTTTTAGTTATCATAATAAATTGGGATATATGCATAATTTTTTTCAGTGCAGCATCTCACATTATAATGAACTATCATATCTGCCCATAATGTGCTTTCTCATGCTGTAAATTATAGCATGCCCAGATAACAACTGGAAGATCCATGCTTTCAATCTACTGAATTTTTAATGTTTAGTGCTCTGAAAAACCTAAAGTCCATACAGTGGCCTACAAACTAAAATGTGATGGGCAACGACATTGTCATAGGCTCTAACAAGGTATACTAGACACAAGAGAGGGAGAATATCTGGAATCATCACATCCTCCTATATGTGCTCTCATGGTGTAAATGCCATGGTGGCATGCCCAGCTAGCAACTGAAAAAGCTACAATTTAGGTAGCATACCAGATTTTTGTACACCAGATTTTATACCAGATTTTCCTGCACAAAAAGACTTAACATTTTTTATAATATTACTAAAAATATTAGCATACAACCATAAGACCACATAGAAAATACCTTCAATGCCACCAAGATTATCTGCAGAGCTTCTAGAACTACTGAAGCCACTTGACATACTTGAGAGTGGGCTTTGAATACCTCTTCCTGAAGGTGAACCATAATCGGGGGATTTGCGATGCTCTGCAGAAATAAAACACATGCTTTGAATGTTTGGATACATTAAACAATTAATACGGCTCTCAAATTCATTGCTTTTCATTCTGAATGCTAAAAAATCACTATATAATAGAAATTAAAATATGACTGTAGTTGCATTATAAAACAAAATGAAAACCTGGAATTGCAAAGTGCAGATGACATTAATTGAACAGTAAGGAAGTTGATACCTTATATTTTTATATTTAGTCAGTATTCTTTACAGTAGTATGCATAATAAATGTTTCAGGTAATATTTTTAACATCAAATATGTATAAATATATATATGTAAATAATCCACTTAATTCAGATTGATGTGATTCCAGAATTCAGATTGATGGGATTCCAGTTTGAACAGCAATTTCATTATCTACAAAGTATATAGAATACTTAATATTCTTCAGAATTATCTTAAATTTTTCTATTACAGAAAAACTCTCTTCCCCCATTTAAAATAAAGAATAATTGAAAAAGTAGAATTATACATTGAGCCCTATCATACTGATAATATTGACCTGAGGATATACTCCCACATTGACCTGAGGATTATGAGAACATAAATAATCCTTCATATTGATGATTATAATATTTTTCCCTTAGACCTCTTTTTAACTCTGCTGAGACCATTAAATATTTTACTTATAATTACCAAAATGTCTTTTCAGTATATACCTTAAGAATACTTCAAAAATTAATAAAAATTTTTGCAACTGAAATGTTTTAAGTCTATTATCTCCAACAGAGATGTCCTTTTTATGAATTTTTTTTTTTTTTTTTTTTTTTTTTTTTTTTTAAACCAAGCTTCAATTTAAAGATTGAAGAGTTTGCCTTCATTACCCTTTTTATCTAGGAAATCCTTCATATAACTGAGCCAATAACCAATCTCAGCCATAAGAACCAATCCCTTAAATAAAAATTCTAATTAACTAGTTATTTACAAAATATATAAGCTTTTGCGATCCCTAATAATTTTTATATGATCCTTTGTTGAAACTCTTTGTTCTAGCATAAGTATGTTAGAAGACATACTTACTAATGACACCTATTAAAAAAGAAGCATCAGTAACTTCAGTAAACATAACAATTTTCCAAATATTTTAAGATAAATACTAATTAAAACAAAAAAAGTTCATGAATATTGGGTAACACTAAAACAGAAAAGAATACAAATCACACTTACTAGTGGGTGAAAGTCTGGTTGGGCTCGATGGCTTCCTAGATGGGCTTCCAGAGAAATGCCTAGGACTATCACCTTTAAGCATTGCCTCATAGCTGTTTCCAAGATCATTAATTTTGTCAATGGTAGGTGCATAATCTGCATGTTCTTTAGCAAGTGTCTGCAAAATAAAATACTCAATGAATACCATGAATTATATAAAATTTAGGTATTAAATAGAAGTTGTGTTACAAAAGAAGTCAAGACATGAAAAACCCCAATTTTGTTCAACAATAGAATACACATAATAAATTAAAATTATGCATTAATTACTATATATATTTTTATTATTGTATGAATCATCCTTGTTGCTGCCTTTAACTGTAATTGCGCCAAACTTGGTGATCTTACCATTCAAACTGAATGCCGCCAACTAGGCGGGAAAATTGTTAGTTCGTTCGTCGGCAGACACCAAGTCGTATCTGTATCATTTGTCAAGAACTTCGGTTCTAAGTAATGTATCACATATATTATTGTTGAGTTTTAATAAAACTACTAAAAGACATTATCGCCTCATACAGTTCACATTTCGACACAAACAATCCTAATGAACAGAGATGAATACTGAAATAAGAATTTTTAAATTTCTAAATTAAAAAGTACAACAAGACAACTGTGTAATAAGCTCATAGTATCAACTGTTGTTTAAGAGAAGCTTAATTCTTGCCTATTTTTCAGAAATAGAGGCCTTTTGTGACATATGCCCTTTAAGAAAAAGAATGGCAAGAATAATGCACATTAAAATTTTAGAAATTCTTAATTTTTTTTTTAATATTACACATTGATTATAAATATCTACCTTTCGAAAACCTATTTTAATAAAAAGGTAATTTATGGGTTTATAAATATTACTTTTTACAGCATATTTATGCTATTACTACACAAGATTTTTTTAAATAAAATTTAATTCATAAAAAATAAAATTATAGGTAGGCTTCTATTAAATAAAAAAGTAGTCATGCCCAGTCTTTTGAAAATATCTATTTTGAAGTTAGTCTTTTGAAGTTATATTTTTATCTTTATTTCCTTATGGTGTTGGCAAATGTAAAATAATTAAAATTTAAGTTAGACTACTTGTTTCATCAAAAATATTCCACAGTATTTACAGGGTTCATACCACATTTTAGTTAAAAAAATAAGCACCTATAAGCACTTTTCAAGCACATTTTAAGGAAAAAATAAGCACCTGTCTAATTACATTACACACAACTGCATAACCTTAAAAGAAAAATTAGACTTGTAATTTTAAAATATGAGCAATGCAATATTTATTACGAGAATGAGCATTACCTCAACAATGGAAAACAATTAACTTTTTTTTTTTTTAAATTTTAAATGACAGTTCAATTTACAGAATTAGTGGCTTTAGTGTAGAATTGGGTGCCCCTTCGATTGGCGACATTTTTTTAAAAGTTTTGGCAATGAAACCTCACTTCTGGTTACCACGATAGTTTTAACTTTGTTTTAGCTTCCTGATTTTATTTAAATGAAAATAGATTGATGTGTACATGGACATATTTAAGGCAGTGCGCAATGCCTAGTTTGTGCAATTCTAGGATGTCTTTTAAGTAAAAACAGATCGATGTGTACATGGACAGAGATCTTATGCAATTCTTCGACTTCTTATTTTGGTTTTGTGTAGCGGCCATCTTGAAATTGTGACTTCTTGGTGCCGATCTTGGCGTCAAAAAAGAATCGCCAATAAACAAGGGGCACCCAATTGCAAACTTTTACCGAATTAGTTTACAATGAGAGAAAAAAAAAAACTATGCAGAACTAAACTATATTACAAAATTTAATGATGATATTTCAGTTGAAAATATAGAAAATAAATAATAATAAGCCATATTAACTGTATTCGTTTGGCACCGAATAATAAATACAATTTATTTTTCCACTAATATTAATATTTAAATAATTTAACTTAAATCAAAATTCTGAACATTTTCTAAATTTTCATTCCATAACAGTTTTCCCTTAACATATATCCCAAGCAAAGTAATTTAAGTACAAAAGAGGCACATTTCAGAAATCAGAAGACGGGAAATTGCTTCATTCAGTCATCCTTTAACAGTAAAAGCTTAACTAACTCGCATACTCGGAAATTCCCGAATATTCCGGATAGTAACTGGAAAAAGAGGTGTGGGGGGAGATTGTAGCCGTTCTTTAGATTTAAATTTAGGCTAAATAAATTATTTTGACATTTCGATATGTGCATCATATAAAAACCAATGGAACTGAGAAATATTCTGCTTAGAAAACACAGTAAAACTCTTTTAAATGTTCATAAACAAATCTCAGACTGAACATCAAAATTAATTATCTTCGCAAAATACCGCAAAAGTTATTGCGCAATATGTTATTGCGATAGTGCAATACGTTATTGCGCAATACGTGCGGCGTAATTCTTCCACATGTGATATTATGCAATCGGAATCAATAGCTTGCGGGTATTCGGAGAATAAAGAACTAAATAAAAGGAAAAGAAAGAGACTTACCTAATCTGGAGGTGTTTCTGATTCTAATTTTCAACAGGCTGCGTTAAATTTCCGGGAATAGAATCAATCTTCCGCTTGGGTTGGGTAGACCACAAAAACTTTTAGTCCTATTTCAATACAGATTGGACAGTGACCAAAAAAAAGTCCGCTGCTTCAATATTAGAGATTTTGCGGAGAAAGGGGAGGAACTCCCAACCTCCTCCGAACTGTATAATGTATTGGCAAAAAAAAAAAATTATTTTGACTATTCGATTACTTTTCCTTTTATTTAAGCCATTCCAAATATTATTCCTTAGAAAGCTAAATCTGTGTAACAACACACCCATTTTTGGAAGTTTATCTATACTTCAGCAGTTACTGCAACTATATTATTATAAATATTCATACATATGCTCATAATATAAGCATAATGATCATAATAAACACGAATACGAACTGACCACGCGGAACAAGAATGGAAATTATTAAAATCTTGATAGAAATTCAAACGTGTGTAGTATTTGGGTGGGAGGAAAAGAATACCGAATGTACCGGAATTTTCTACCGTTTTTGCAATTCTTTGACCAATAGAACGACGTGCACCTGTCTGTACTCTTGCGCGCACCATAGGTTACGTTAATGCAGAGGAAGGGGGGAAAAGCAATTTCTGGGAGTATGATTCACCATCTGACGTTGCATTTAAGGAAGAAAAGTTGTTTATTTAGTTTCGTCTTAGGTACGGGGAAAAAATGCACGTTCATTAAAAACAAAGGATTAAAAAAAAGCAGTAAAAACAAAAACAAATAAGGGCTTTAAAGAAAAAGTAAGCACCTATAAGGGCCTTTATATTTTATTTTCAAATATAAGGACTTATAAGCACTTGTAAGGACCGCTACGAACCCTGATTTACAAATATGATACAATTCTGTTTAAAAAGACAAAAGTTTCTCAAAATATAAACATTATATATTCAGAACATTACTGTAGGATATAAATTATCCATAATCTTAATAGCATGCATGTCACAGAAGGTCTGATGAAATGTGAGTCAATAAATAAATGAAATGATGCCTGAGGTAGTTTTAACTAATATTTAAAATGAATATTTAGCTAAGACTTTTTTCAGTGAAAATTCAAACTCTTAAGAAATCTAAAAAGCAGAAAGAGACAGTTTGATCTTTTTTTGTTATTTTCATAATTTAAAGACAGAACTCTGACACTAGGAAAATATTTCCATAATATACACTGACAACTACGATCAGACTTGCAATAATTCTTCAAAACAATATACTGTAAAATAATAATTTAAATACCAATTAAAAGTTGTTTATTAGTTGCAAAAATTACTATTTGTTTTATAACTGCAGAACTTTCAACATACCTTTATTTCCAATGATTGCCTTCTAAGTACTTCTTTGTCCAAAGCCACAGGTTCAAGATTATCTACCCTGATTTCCATTGAACTTAACCATTCAAGAACTTTTGCTCTAAGTGCTTCATAAGCAGATAATTGTTCTGCCCTTTCCTTGTTTTTTCTGTGTTGTTCAGCAACTAGGTCACCAAGTTCCTTCCACTGTTGTTCCAAAGATTTCATTTTGTCTTTTACAATGCTTGTATCGGTAACATCTCGTTTGCCAACCAGAACTTTACCAGAGCGAAGAATTTCTTCAAATTCTTCTTTACGAGCATCTCTCTGGTTAATAACATCTTCTATGACACTCAGACTACTGCCATCAGAGCGAGACTGGTCCTTATTTCGTGTGATTTCAAGCATAGTAGTTAACCAATCTTCAAATTTTGTAGCTAGAGTTGAGAAAGCACCAAGTGCTTTACAAACCTGAAATAAGTTACAACGTATAAAATTATCAAGTCAAATAATAGCTATTTAAATATTTACTGAAGTAAAATGAAAAAGTATACAAAGAAAATTGACAATTCAAAAAATATTTTTCATTAAAATATTTTTTTTGGGGGGGATAAATTTTAAATTATATAGTTAAGAACAGAAAATGTGAGTTATTAATCAACTAAATTTAACTTACTTCTTCCAATAAATCTGATCTCTTCTGAGCCTTTTCACAAAGTTTTTCAAATTTTAAGTTAACATCTTTCAATTTTGATTCAATTTTCTTAGCCAATCGTTGATTAGAACTATTTAAGAGCTCTCTAGCTGAATCATTAACAGCATCTAAAGTAGGTTTCTGCCCATCAATATCGGACAACAACATCTTGTGCATCTGAATCTATTAAAAAATTGACAAAGAAAAAAAGCATTATAATGCTGGAAGTTTTTTAAATATTTTTTATTAAAGAAAAATAGCATATATTCTACAATTTTTTTTTTTCGAAATTATAAAAGCACCTTTTACTCAAAATGTTTATTAAAGTATCACTTAATTTCATTATCTAATAAAAATATAATGTTTAATAAAAAATAATAATAATAAAATAATGTAATAACTAATAAAAAATGTTTTATTAGCTAATAAAAATTCTGTATTAAAATGAACTTAATACAACAGTACTGCAAAGTTACTTGAGAATGCTAATTGAATTTATGTAGATATGATATTAAAAAATACAAATATAAAAAATATACCTGTTCTTCAAGTTTCTCTTTTATTAAGCTCACAGGCCTGCTCTGGTTCTTTAAATTTGTTTCAGTATCATCTAACCATTTTAAAATTCTGTCTAAACCATCTTGAATGTCTTGAGAATGCAGCAAAGCCATCTGCAACTCATTGCTCTTAGCATTCACCATGTTGCAGAGGTCATTATAATCTTGTTCCAAACCTTTAACTTTGTTTGAAATTGCCTGCTTTTCCAATGGACTAATATCAGAATCTTCCAAAGCATCTAGAAGCACTCTTGCAGACTCTTTTGCAGCATCAATAAGTCGGCCTTGCTGAATCAGTTCCATGTTTAAGACTTTGACTCTGTCTAACTGGTCTTGAATAGCTCGAGGGTCAGCAGCAGCAGGTTCTTCGACAACTTTTTTTGCATTCTTTTGAATACTATTCAGCCACATACTTGCTTTTTCCATACAATCAGCAAAATTTCTTTGTTTGCTGAACAAATTAGAAAACTTATCACCAAGCTTATCAATACGATTCAGGAGATTTTGAAATGCAGTAGACACTTCTTGCACTTTAGCCTTCACTTCACTGTCGGTTGGTTCCAAATGTCCCAAACGTCGAGGTAGAGAAGTTCGGAAATCATTCAATACTCGCAAATAATCCTGTAAAATAATTTTAAAGAATTCTTAATATTTGCCATGCATTATATCATGCTACTGTGTAGGTTCAAAAGAAAAAGTAGCCAATTATGATTAGTTAAGGTTTTTCAGAAACTGATTTTCAGTGTCTAAGAAGATAATTCGGTAAATTCAAATGTATCATATTACAAGCATGTTTCATATCACAAACATAAAAATTGTTAGAATTATAGAAAGATATTTTCCAGTACAATTTATTTATCAAAGATCTTTCGAAATTAAAAATATGTATATATATATTGGTTCTTCTATTACTTGACCCTATTTTCATTGCAACAAAATTCACAAGGTATGATATTGATAAAAACTCAAATTTTTTGCTGATTTATTTAAGTAATAACAGATTTCATATATTTTATTAACACATGCTACTAAAACAGCACTTTTTTAAAGTAAGATACAGAAAAATACTTCACACAAAACTTTTGAAATTAAATAACAAATTTCATAATTTCTGCCTTGAAATCCTATTAAATCATGCCCTTTATATATCTATTTTTTCATAAATTTTAAGACGTATGGCAATAGCTAAAAAACTGTTCAGTCTCACTGATAATGCTGGAACAAATTAATCACATAAGTTTTAGACACCCATTTTCATTGCAAGGAATGCAACAGTTAGCCATAACATCTTTTTTTTTTTTAAGTACACACAGTGATCCAACCTCAGATTTTTAAATCCATCTTTATTTGTTCCATAATCAATGAAACATTTTCTATTCAACATTTTGCTGAAATATGGGAACATTTTCTTATTTTGATGAGATTTATAAGAAAAATGCATTACACACATTTGGCAAATGGATCTAAAAACTCGAGATGGTGCATTTGTCTCCTTGAGCATATCAATAATTATTCAGAAATAATAATTAAATTCTTATTTTAAGTTGCAAAATATTACTTTTAATTGTCATATTTCTAAACTTATCACCAGAGAAAAAAAAAGGAAGGAAAAAGAATCTGGTATTACAAAGCGGAAAAGAAACATTCAAATACGCATCTATTTCATTGGGTGCAAAATGATTTCATGGTATTTAAGTACACATCTTACTGCCAAATATGATAATATAAATAAGAAAAGAAGATCCACATTTGATCAGTGGCCATTTTTTGGATGCATGAAACTTTATTTTTCATTTTGGATCTATGAAACTCTGAAGTGTTCAAAATCCAGTTTATTTCTAACAAAGTTATGCAAATTTCCAAAAATTCAGATATAATATGGATCCTTCATTTGACCATCTAAGCTTCTGAGCAAGAAAACCCGCATTAATCTCTCAGGACAATTTATATATTTATAATTGATGAAGAAGCTTTAAACCACTTCAATAATCAGATCTGAACCATCTATTTTTTAAAAATGATTATTTTAAATATTTTTCTTATGATGAAATAAAAATATGCTTTACATAATAATTTCAATCTATTCATGAACTATAGTTCCAATTTTCTTTTTTACAGTCTCAAACATAAGAACTTGATGAATTAAAGAATGCATTAAATTCTTTACGTACATTAGGTATTTAAAAGAACTTAACATATCTTTGCAATATACAATCCAAATATGTACATTTTATATTCCTGGAAATGTTTTATCTGTTATTTCTCATTTTGAACAAAAATTACAGGAATGATTCCCCCCCCCCATACATTTAGACCAGAATGCATGTGAATTCACAAGAATTCAGCTTTTTCAGAAATCACAGCCCTAAACAACAGACTATTGTTCAGATCTAAAATGAAAATATTAATTTTTTGTGACAATAATAAAGTAGCTAAATCTTTAACATGACTCAGAGTATTCCTGATTTATGAAGCAATGCAAGGGAGTATATTCTAAAACAAATTTTAAAAAATACTGCAGCAATTACAATAATAAATTTGAAAGAGTAATAAATTTTGCAGATATTTCTAAAAGATTCTAAAAGCCTTTATTATTCTATAACTTATGCTCTGAATCACACTTTCATAGTTAAATAACTATAAATAATGATGTAACAGATTACAAGAATTAAATAAAATCAATTCAAAAGAGCAATTAAACTTCCAAAAACCATGAAAATTATTTTTCATGATATTTCATATTATGTAATAAGATGTTTACAACTGAATTAATATAATACATACTTTTGATTCATCAACAAATTTTTGTGCAGCCATTGTTATGAATCTGAGATCTGCTTGATGGGCAATAGCATCACTTGAAAATGTCTAAAAAATTGAAAAATCAAATGATTAAGTAAAACAGTTTACATTTACTTAAAAACATAAAGCAATTCTAAAAATAATGCTTACTTTGTACGCATCTGCATTTTCCTTCAGATGATCAAGATCTACTAAACTTCTCTCTTTTTCAGTTTGTTTAAGATGTGAATCTTTTAACCATTCCATAAAATTTATTAATTCGTTCTGAAAAAGAAATACAGAATTAAGTGTCAATTTTAACTAACAGGTTTTCCCTTTGATGCTTTGTGTCACTGAATTTAAAAAGAAAAAAGCAAAAAAGAAAAGGGAATCCACAAAAATAAATAAATAAAAACCTACTGTACTAAATTCAGATTATAAAAAAGACACTAATTTTCCTTAATTATTAAATCTTAGAACTAAATAATTACATTTTAAAAAAGTACCTTTTCATCAACTATAAAACTGAATAAAATGTAAATGATATTCCATGAAAAAATAAAAGGCTATTATAACAATAAACAAATAGAAATTTACAAAGTAAAATAATAAATAAAAATTGTTACAACATCCTATAACAATTTTTGAAACTAAAACTAAAAATATTACTCTTTTAATGTAATGCTGTACATACTGAAAATTTTTGAAGTTCCTCTGAAGCAGTATTGAGACGACGCAGCAATTTTTCACTATCTTCATTAGCTTTTGTGAAACGTTTCTTTAAAGCTTCAGAATTCTTTTGAATATTATGGATTTCATCTTTACTCAAAACATCTTGACCTTGTTCAATAAGCTGCTGAGCTTGATCAATGCAGGACATAATAGATCTCTGGTGATCTTCTAGGTCTTGTTTTATTGACTAAAGGAAATGCATATATATATATATATAATTTCAAAATTCAGTAGGAATTTTTAATAACTAAAACACAACATTCATTTGCACGAAAAAGAAAATCCATTAAAAACTTCTAGTTAATAATGGTTATTTCTCAGAAGCAAAAATATGAAATATATTTGACTAAATATTTAATGCTTACAAATTATTTTTAGTGAATTAGCTTAAGTGTTATAATATAACTTATTTTACAATATAGTTTCTCAAAATAGCAATCTGCAAAAATCAATAAAAATTTAATGTGGATAAAATGACTTCTTTGAAATGAATTCCCACATTCCTAGTATTTGTCTTGAATTTAGAATAACAAAATGATTAAGAATTGAAAAGGGAATAAAATATATAAAAATACAACGAATTTCAAATTTTATAAAAGCATTAGTCAATTTTAATAAAAAAAATTATAACGTATTCAAAGCTAAAAAGGCTATGCATAATATTTATCTATTTATTCATGAAATATTTATTCTAATCTACAAGATTTTTCATATTATGCAAGTTTAGAAACAAATCACTAAGATAGCTCTACTGATAATTTTTATGTCATAAAATGTGTGTTCTTGTAGTACTGAAATAAATATTTGAAGCCAAAATGTTTGACCTTTTAATTCTCTCCAAAGAAATGTTTACAACAATATACTCTCAAAATAACTTCTCTGAATGTTTACTAAGCAAATATCTGTTGATGATCAAATTTGCAAGTTGTTCTGGTTAATTCTTTTATTAAATTAAAATTTTAAACTGGCAATATTGGTCTAGTGTTGAGCAGAAAATGCATATAAGTCCTATCAAGTAACTTATTGAATATATGAGATAAAACAGCAGGGCACTGTTCCTGCTGTTTTAATATTTGCATGATGTATATTTTCAAAAAATAAGTTTCCACATATCACGAAAAATTTAAACATCCTCTCCTCCAAAAAAGAAGTCTTTTCTACGAACTAGAAGATATTTTGAGAGGGGGTGAAAAAGAAGGCAGCACATAAAAATTAAGAATTAAATCCATTACACATTATATGCTGCTCTTTAAATTAAAACTGGGACAAAAATATGCACACAAATTTATGTAATTCCTAATTTGAAAACAGTTATAAGTCACAATCATATCTTTAGAAAGTCTCCAAATCTATAGCCCACTTTCATACAGTATCAGCATCAGAAAAAACAAAAAGCTTATGTTAATCAACTTTTTGACATGTTCGGCATTTCACGTAGGCCTAGCACACTAAATACAGTCAAAAGTCGTTAATTCGGACACCCATAATCCGGAATGATCTATAATCCGGACCTCAAAGCTAAAAATTTTCTGCGCATGCGCTGTGTCGACACATGCGTATAGGCATTTACACGTGCGCGTAAGACCTTTACGACTGCGCATATGCGTGTGCGCAAGTGCAGAATACGTTTTCGCGTGCGCGTTTAATGTATAACGGATGGTATAAGCTAAAATTATCTAATTATCTATTTCAGTTAATGTTGATGATTGCGTTGTACCTTAATCTTCGAACTGGATCCGGCTTATTACTTTTTTCAGAATCTAAGAGCAATTTTATAAAAGTAAACTTAAACTTTCGATTATGTCAAATAGAATTTCCGATGCTGGAGCTCCCAAAGGATCTACAAAACGAAAGTATGTTTCGATGTCCATCAAACAAAAAGTGGAATTGCTGCAAAAAATGGATAAAGACATGAAGAAGGTGACAGAGAGGTTAGTGAAAATGAAAAAATTTCGATTGACAAGTTAGTCGGTATTCTCGGCACAGCAATTACAGACTTGAACAGCGGAACTTTGTAACTGAACAAGAAATTATGTCTGTTTATAGAATTAAATGGAAAGTATTATCACATAAAACAAAGCAACTTAAACAACTTACATTGAAAGAAAAGTTTAATAAAGTAAACAAATAAATATTAAATATTTTTTTTTTTTTTTTTGTAAATTTTGATACCTTTTAGATCATAATTGTTCTTTATTTTCATAAATTACGGTTTCATATTTTTAATTTTAGAATTTCTGCATGCCATCTTACGAGATTTAAACTGATGATCTATAATCCGGAAAAATCGATAATCCGGAATCGCGGAAGTCCCGACGAGTCCGGATTAAGGACTTTTGACTGTAGTCAGCCATATAGCTTATTTCTTAACCAGATGCTGCTAAACCTTTTGGGCATTTACAAGGTGTGCTTGAAATTATTTTAAATAATTCAAAAACCCTGCTCCTGACTTCTCAGAGTAGTACAAATTAAGATAATTTAGTTGGTTGAGAAGCCTTTTCAAAGCTTGCAGATGAGGAACTAACAAAAATTGTACCGCAAATCAGAGTAACAAATTCTACAGCACTGTATAAGATTTTATACGCCAGATATTTAAATGCATGTATTTTCTTCCTTAATTTGAAAGAACATTCCCAAAAATTTGCCATTATCAAAATTTAATTACAAAAACAGAAAAAATAATGAAATTTAACAAATTTTTAGTAAAGCTATGAAACAGTGAAAAAAAATTATTGAAAGTACAAAAAGTGATTGAATATATATGTGCAAATGAAATAAATCATGAAGACAAATTATAAACGTTTTAATAACCAATACCTGAAAAAACAAAATGAAATACATTGACATATAGAAGCCCTATTACTCCAGCAAAAGTCTCCATTCAGGCTTATTGGTAATCAAGAATCTCTAGACAGACAAACAGTACTGTAAACAGAAATGAAACAAAAAGGAAAGAACATAGTTGTAAATATCTGGTGGTAACAAAAGTTTTCTGTCAAAAAAACTTTCTTAATAAAATTAGAAAAAAAAAAAAAAAAAAAGAGAGAGAGAGAGAGCAAGACCTTTAGTATGGGTAGTAATCACTGCCCAAATCTATGATGTTCTGCCAAAGTTTTGGTAGTTTTTCAACACCTTCAGCCCAGAAACTTGGTGACCAAAAGTCCAAAAACAGATCAACCTCATTTCAGACGTCCTGCGCAGAATGGAAGATAGCACCTGAAAGTTATAGCTGCAGGTAAGAAATAAGGTAGCAGCCGGTGAATGCAGACCCAAGTGGTTTTGCATTATTTTGATGGAACATTACCTTTTTGTGCTGGAACTCAGTTCGATGTTTTTCCTTGAATAGCAGTGTCAACACAGACTAGCATCACAATGTACAACCTTACTGTCAAAGGTTTTACCTTTTTTTCAGGTATTCTTTGTGGATAATACCACAGCAATCCCACTAGATCACCAGATAAAAAGCATGATGTTTTTGTTAGTCAAGTGTTTTGTGATGCTGTCAATGGGCTCACCAGGCGCACACCAACTCCGATTTAGGCTTGTATTGTTGATGTAAATCCACTTTTCATCTCAAGTGGGGATTTAGTCCGGAATTTTATCTTTGTACTGATATTCGAGGAGATTAGTGTAAGCACAAACACATCTGTCCTTATCTGCTCATGCAGCTTCAATAACTGAACTTGTACATCAAGTTTATGCGAAGCATACCACAACTAATAGACACAGCACTAACGTCTAACTCCTTAACAAGTTTTCAAGTGGTTGCATACTGATCGTTTCCCACAAGTTCTCGCACACGAGCATCATATAATAGAACATTAGTACCAAACGCTGTACACATGATTTGATGACATTCTATATCTGAATGTTTACAACAAAACTGGAAGTAAAGTATGGTTCTAATCTGGATGACGGTTCCATTTCAGACACCTTGTACTTAATGATGACGATATTCTTTTACACAGTTCACAACACAATAAGGGCAAAAAACAAAGCATCTAAAGCAAGTCTCTTTCTTTCAAGTGCCAAAAACCATTTGACAAAATATGATTAAACACGCCAATGTGAACTGTTTGCGCAGACAATATTTGCAGTGGCGGGAAACTTTCGTTCAATTATTATCACTATTGTAATTTTTATTTAAAAAAAAACTTAAAGGATGATAGCAGGAAAAAAACAAGACAATCTTATTTAATGCTCATAAACTCTTAAAATAAATGCATTATCTGAAAACTAAAGGTCATTCATTATAGTCAAGCATTCAATTAAATTTATTGCTGAATGAATTTATAAAAAATGTTTTAGCTTTTAAATGCATCGCAGAACAAACAGAATAAAATAAAAACTTATATTTAGCTGCCAAACTGTGTTGCAACCCAGTGCAACATTTAAATTGTGTCCCCTTATCTGCATAAGTTGCTTCTAATGATATCTTAACTAAAATTTTGCCTAATATAGAAAGAATATGAACATTAATACAATAATAAGAGTTTCTTGTATAGCAGAAAAATATACAAATACATAATATTTAATTATCATTTCCAGGGTTATTCTTGACTATTAAGGATAAAATCTGATGACAAATAATTTCATTTTTGTTATATTTATCCCTTACATACATATACGTATGTATTCCGATAAATTTTGTAGCAAATTTAAACCAGATTGTTAAATTATTACAGTGTACAGATTTACTGGATGCTTTCATCCTTGTCAACATTTAGTCTTAAAAATGTTCAAATGTTACTACCAATCTTTGTAGCCTTGACAGTGGCGTAATAGAAGAAAAGAGTTTACATTGTTAAAAAAAAATTAATTTATTGTTACTACTGAACACCAACTATTCTCTCTCCCTTTTTTTACCATGTTTGCTTTTGTAAGATAATTTATGCCCTTTTAAAATAATCCTTCAATTTTGTGTTTAGTTTCTTTAAAAATTACTTTCAATGTATTTTCTAAAAATATGTTTGACGGTGATATGCTTTTTTAATAAAAAAAAAAAGGTTTCACAATAGGAGTAAATTTGTTAGCCACATAAATTGAATTTGGAGATTCTTTAAATACAGTTGCTATCTATCTTTGCTTTTGTTTTCTTCTTTCTTTGTTATACACTATTTTATTTATTTAGGGATGTTGTCAATGTCTCTATTTCCCCTTATGCATTATAAATTATTTTGTTTGTTCATCTTCATTGTTTTCTTTCCTCCTTTCTGTTATAAATATATCCATATTTTCACTTAAACCCTGCTTTAACTTTTCTTCCTCTCCCTCTTCTTATATGTTACATTAGCAAGTATAGCTGCAGATGGATAAATAGTGAACATGTGTGTGTACAACACACATATTTGGAGTCATATAGCTCAGGCATACTATACAATGCTACAGTATGTAGCACCAAATAACAGTTTTAACATTATACTATTTATTATGATGACTTTGTATAATTTAAAATAACAACATAAAATTTCTATGGTACTAAAAATATTTTATTAAATTTATGAGTGTTCCTCTCCTACGCTTATAAGGCATTTTCTCCCTCCTTTTCGCATGCTTTCGTGATGTAATTGGAAGTGCACTTAACACACATTCGAGAAGTCCAGAGTTCAAGTCCCGTGGAGGGCATTGCACATTTTTCACATTACCTGCTTTAAAAAAAAAAAAAAAAAAAAAACTAATGACTCTACAAGTGGCACTCAAACTAAAAGGTGGTGAACCATAATTCATAACCACCAGGATTTGGAGTCCCTTAATCCCCAGTCACCCTTTAAAAGGGATAGTATACAAGGTATTTTCTTCTCCTTTCCACATGCATACTTAGCATAATTGGAAGCATACTCGATGCATATTTAGGAGTCCAGGGTTTGAGTCATGATAAGGGCACTGCACATTTTTCACATCTCCTGTTTAAAAAAAAAAAAATGCTTCTACACAACGAAGCCATATTTCGACAAACTATAAGATCTCAACATGTGCCCGAAAGAAAAAAAATTCATTTATTGCTATTCGGCACAAACCTTTGCAGAATTGATTTGACGATATAATTCATCTGCTTCTTCTTTAACAAGTCCAAGTTCAGCCAATTCCATTTCTTTCTCTTGCAACCAGGCCAATAACTTTGATATAGTATCAGAACACTGTCTGTATTTTTCTTCAATGGCAACCTAATTATTAGAAATAGAAACTTAAAACTGATGAAAAATAAATTATATATAACATATTCATAACATTAAGACTTTTAAGTTAGGCATTAAGGTCCCATTAAGACTTAACATTAGCTAATAATTTACAAACTACTAAATAGCAAATTGTATGTACATATTTACTTTAAAATACGACTCTTTGAAAGATTTGAAATTACTGTATGTACATATTTACTTAAAAATATGACTCTTTGAAAGATTTGAAACTAAGAAATTAAAGAAATATAAATGACTATATATAATTCCTATTAATAATACCTACAAATTTTAATTTTAGAATACTGTTTTTTCATAATTTTTACATTAAAAATATAAACTATTTTAAATTCAACAAACCTGAAAATTTTTAATATTAGAACATTATATTAAATATTAAAATATGCTTTAATTTACAGGAATAATATATATAGTTACTCAAAAACATGTATTTTTTCCTGTCCCATATAAAAGGCAACATTTGATACAATAATAAAGATACAACTTGTTTTCATATACAAAAAAATACAGTTATATATAATTTTCAAAAAGTAGCTTGTACCAAGCCGTAATGAAAGGTTGGGATTATCATGCATCTTTGTTAGTAATATATGTGCTGTGTTATATGAGCAAAGCTTAAAAAACCAAGCTTCAGCAGTATAATTAATAACTGTAACAGCATGCAAATTCAATAATAACAATAAACACTTTTAAATATCATCATTATTTACAGGAATCATCATCAGTGTTATCTTAACACTGGTGAAAGAATATGCACTTCACATTTTGTGAAATATATTCCATATAATAAAATGTTCTGTAGAATAAATTCTGTATGAAAAAATACATTTATTTTATTACGCACACACAAACACATGCACCAGGCATGTAGCAGAGGCAAGCCAAGCATTTTATTGCGCCCAATCTTCACATTAATGACACCTTACCCTTTTTTCAGATGGTACCAGCAATCCCCGTTGATATGCATCCATTAAAGTAGTTGAATCACCATTGCCTACATTCATCAGACATCCAGTTTCAGGGCATATAATACCCTTGTCGAGGGCAATGTTTAGATCATAAAAACAACCTGATGCAGTGTCCTTCACAAGTGTTGTTGAAGGATTAATAAGGCCAGAGGCAACTGCTTTGGACAATGTCTCATACATGTTAGTGAATGGGTTTCTAATCATATTTGTGTTTTTGTCATACATATCATAATCTAAAGCATCTGTAAGATTAAATGAATATGGATATGTTAACATGAGACCAGAACTAATGGCCCCATTTAATGTTAGTACTTGATTTGTCATTGTGTTAATAACCATTCCCCTATCTGAATCTAAGGTATTATTTTCAAATGCAAACTTCAAATTTGAAAATTGCCTTCTCTTGGTATCTTTAACTACAGCAGACCCACAATCAATATAGCCAAGATCCACAGCTTCTTTCAATGTAAATATCTGCTTAGAATTAGGCTCTGTAAACATGCCACTTAAAACATTAAGACTCTTTTCCATAATTGTTTCACTTAAAGAATTTGGTTTTCTTGCAAATATTTGCTGTTCTTCATAGTGGATTACGAGAGAATTAGTTCTTTTTGAAATGTGACAAAATACAAGTTTCTTTCGTAAATTAATCATTCCATTTTCAATGGCATGCTTTACTGTGATTAACTGTGCATCATTATGATCTCTGATAAAATTTTTATCAGGATTCATAAGTTTTTTCTGGATTGCTTCTTCCACAGTACATTCAACACGATGGAAAGAACACAAGTCTGAAAAATTTTTGTTTTGCATAAAATTTTGTAAAAATTCAGGTCCTAGTGAAATGATAAAATTCTGTTCAAAAGCTTTATCTAGACTTATGGAACAATGACTATTAGGATCTTTTAAAGTACCAGAAGTAACATCAATTGTACCATCAGTCAAAGATAAACGAAGAGATTTCAGAGATTCTGTTTTATGATCATGAACCATTATATCATCTTTCACTAAATTATTATTAACTGCTTCTTCAACAGTTAAAAACTGATTTGATATTGGATCCAAAAACTGACCTGTCTCAGGATTGAATAATTTCATATTAAGAACATTCTCGAAACTATACGGTTTGTTAAAGAGAATTATAAGCTGCCTACTGAATGCTTCTCTTAAAGATATAGTTTCACCAGTATCTATAAAAATATACCTTCCATTTACATCATCAATTATGCCATCATTTACAGCCTGGCAAAGGGTTATCACTTTATTTTCAGGACTTTTCACAAATGATGTATGTGGAGAAATTAAGCTATCAACGCAAGCTTTCCGTAAAGTTATCAACAAGCCATTTCTAGGGCTAAAGAATTTTCCTGATTTTACAAATAGGTCAAATTTAAGAGCATCGTATAAAGTTAAAGTCTTTTCTATATCAAGTAAAACACCCTGTTCTAAAGCTTCATCTAAAGGAATGGAATGATTTTCTTTAGAACTTTGGAATAACCCCAAAGTAGAATTTATTATTTGTTTCCTTACAACAGCATTCAAAGACAGAAGTCTTTCTGAATTTTCATCCCAATAGCATGGAAGATTCCCATCTAATATATTTTGATTTAGACATTCCCGAAGTGTTAATTTCTTGGAATGTGAAGCAATATGAAATCGCCCTGTTGATCTATCATAAAGACCGTCAAGAATAGCTTTCTGTAATGAAATAGATGGATGATTTTCTACAATGAGGCCTTCCTCGAAAGCTAGGTTAAAGGGTACTAAAGAGCCATCAGGAGAATACACTAAAGATTTTAAAGGATCTACCACATTTTTTTCTACTGCTTCTTCAAGAGAAATGTACAATACAGTTTTCTCTATGACTTGCTTTATTTTAACTGTATCTGGATCAATAAGACCACAGTTAATAGCAGCTTTTAAAGATATATGTTCTGAGGAAAAAGGATTAAAGAATAAACCAGTTGATTCTTGATATACTCCTGTATTTATTGAATCTTTAACAGACATGCATATGACTTCCATAAATATATCTCTTTCAACTGCTTGTTGGAATGTTATATGTTGCTTGAGTCTTTCAAGATATAAAGTGCCATTTGACAGATCAATTATATTTTGCTTCACAGCATCTGCAAATGAAAAAATAGCTTGGTCCACTGAATCACAAATAAGAGTTTTAGTTACATCAATACATTCTGATTCTACTGCATCTAAAATTGTAAGCCTTAAATCCATGGCTGGATTGTAATATGAGCATGACTTAGGGCAATAATATATTTTGTTAATGGATTCCAATAGTGTAAGTTTCCTTTTGTAAGGTAAAATTATACCTTGCTCATAAGCATCATACAAATTCATTTCTGATTGATCAAATGGACTTCTGAAGCATCCTTTTCTTGCATCTAACATTTTTCTCTGTATTGCATCATGAAGTGATACAATTTCATCAGAAAACATATCAAACACAGTCTTAGCATTTCCATTAATATAACCAGCAGATATCATTTCCTCCAATGGTTTTTCACTTTGATGAAAGTCATTAAATAATTCAGTCTGGGAATCATATAAGTTAAGCTCTAGCGCCTCTGATAATGTTAATGGCATGGAATAATTAATTATATAACCCATATCAAGAGCATATTTCAAATTTACTGGCTGAGGAAGTTTATAAGTGCCTCTGGTAGCATCTAAAATGTTCAGAGATATTGATTCATTTAATGAAATAAACTGACAGGTTTTTACACTTTTTACTTTGGCAGATTCTTCAAGGATAAATTTCATTTCTACGGCCTCTACCAATGTTATATTGCAACCAGTTAAAGGGTTAAAAAATTGTCCACTATGCTGGTCATAATAATCTTGATCTATTGCCTCTACTAAAGTTAGCTTTAACTGCTGGGTTTGTATAATCCCTTCATCTAATGCATCCTGAAAATTTAATAAGGTATTTCTTGCAGTGCACTTTACTTTTCCTGACTTCAGAACAAGTCGTCTTAGCATGGATTCTTCCAAAGTTAATAATTTATCAGACTTTGTGTCTTTAATCAGTGTTAATATAGGGTCGATTAAACCACCCCTGACTGACATTTCTATATTACTTTCTTGTTGTGTAACAGGATCTACTATTACACCACAATCAGATTTCACAAGTCCCATTTTAATGGCAGCTTCAAGAGACATAGGTTTTCTTTTGGGAACTATTAATCCACGCTTAAAAGCTTCTTTTAAACTTATTTCTTGACTAGTAATAGGATGAATAAACAAATCACCATTAATGTCAATGATAGAGGCTTTGCAGGCTTCTATAAGGGAAATCAGTACATCCTTTAAAGGATTGTACACCAACACTGAAGATCTTTCTATTAAACCCAAACGAAGTGATTCACTCAATGAAAAACATCTGAAACATAAAGGGATTTTTAATTCAGCAGATTCTACGTCAAAAAACTTTCTTTCTATTGATTCTTTAAAAGTCATTGGCCTTATATTTTTAACACATCTATCTTCTGTTGGGATATACACAATAAGGCATTTGGAAGTTGCTTCAAAGCAAGAAATTGAAGTACTACTCTCTTCATCAAATATCATTCCAGAATTTTCATCAATAAGTGATCGAGACATAGCTTCAGACAATGGAAAAAAGGCAAGCGTTTTTTTATCTTTTACTTTACAAAATGATAATTCATTAATGTGCTCTTTCATAAGTTGATCTAGGGACAAAATATCATTGGTGTTTGGTCCCAGAAATGTGTTATTCACTTCATCATAATAACCACCAGAAATTGCTGTTGCTATGTTGAGTGGACTTGATTTGTTGACTTCAGCAGCTGAATTCACAACTAATGCCACTTCTTGATCATTTTCTGCTTGTATGATAGCATCAGGAAAGATAACAGTTTCAGCCAATGCAGAAGCCAATGGTATTTTATCTTTTCTGTAAGGTACTGAAAGGATGCATCTGTTAACTTCTAAAAGCCCATAATTTAATAAGTCACATAACATATATAAATGTCCAGGAATCAAAACATTTTGGAAATTGTCTCCAGTTTCCTGTTTTCCTTTAGATGAAATTATACTAGCAGGTTTCTCAGAGGTAATTAAAAGAAATCCAGAATCAATTGCTTCTTCAACTGGGATCGAAACTCGTGAATTTGGATGCATTATGGCACATGATACAGAATCAATAAGTTTATTCTCTAGAGCAGTCCACAAATAGATGGAATCTTCCAAATGCTTCGCATCACCAGTCATTATGAGACCTTCGTCTATGGCTTCAAAAAGAGGAATAACATTGTTTGTAATAGGATGAATATAATTTCTTTTATCTAGGTCAATATAACCTTGACGAAGAGCAACAGCAAATGTTGGTGCAAGAGGTGGAAGGTTGACTTCAACTGATGCTACAGTTTCAAAAATATTTTGCTTAACTGCTTCCAACATAGTCATTGTACCATCACATGTCTGCACTTCACCATTATTACCATTAATGACACCTGCATCTATAGCATTTTCAAGAGTAAGATTTTTGCCAGTAACAGGCTCAGTCATTTTCGACATTGGATCAATAATTTCACATACAATAGCTTCTTGAATTGATAAATGTTCACCATGTTCAGGATGGACTATTTTTTGTTGAACAGGTTCGACAAGACCCTGGGTGACTGCTTCTGGAATACTTAAAGAACGACCAACAGGAAGAATAAAGTGTCCACTTTCTGGATCTAGTAAACCATCACAAATAGCCTGGTTTATGTTTAGTGTTTCATTGTTCTTAGGATTCTTTATTACACCATCACTTCCATCTATGAAACTCAATCTTACAGCTTCTTCAAGTGACAGAGATTGTCCATCTGGTCCAATTAAGTTTGCAATGTCTTTCAAAGTTGCTGCCGTCTTTTCATCTGTTATTCCCTTCTCAGCAGCATAATTTGGATGTACTTTTTTCCTTTTCACTTTTTTGAGTACGACAGCTTTTGCTGGAGACTTGACAGATTGAGCTTTGCCAATAGTTACTTCAAATCTAGGAACAGTATACTGAGACTTAGATAATCGTTTTTTGTTCTCATTTCGATCAATATCTTCTTCAGCAACATTTTTGTTTTTATCTGACATGTCCTCACAAGCAGATGTATCTAAGTTTGGTGCTATATTACTATCTACATCATGTTCACTTACTTTGACTAATGAACTCGAGTTTGCAGAGGAATAATTTATAACCATCCCAGTGTGAGATTTGTTTTCAAATGACTGCACTGCACTAATGCTGCCATTTACGGAGAATTCTATGGCATTTTGTGCTATAGAATTGGTGGTACATTCTGTGGAACTGAAAGGTAAAAGCAGTCCTTTAACAGAAGCCTCATTTAATAATATTTCTCCATTTAATATATTTTCTTTGTTGTCTGAGTTTATACTCATACAGCTTACATCACTACTGTCAGCACTCATTTCTAAATTGCTCTGTATATTTGGCTGAAAATTTTGACTAGATAAATTTTCTTCTACGCATGTTTTTTCCAAAGAAGTGCTATTTTGCACTTCCACTCCTATGTCAACCATATCTACTTTCATGTTGCTAAAAATTTTATTGAAGATAATGCTGTTATTTTCTACGGATTGGTTATTTACTTCATTTTGTAGTAATAGTTCTGGACTGCTATCCTTAGCACTAATACATATAATAAAACTTTGATCAAGTGCTTCTTTCATAGATATCTGTCCATTAGACAAAAAATATACACCTGTTGGAGATAATATGTTCTGTTGGATGGCTAAATCTAATGGAATATATTTCTTTGTTGAATTATCTACTACAAGAGCAGACATAGGATCTAATATACCTCTTGTGATGCTGCTTTTTAAATCCATCACTTCATCAGAATCTTTGAAACTCAAATACCCTGAATCAGGATTTAATATTCCTTCAAATAATAATGTTTTTAAAGAAAATGCAGGCTCATGCACAGAAGTTAAATTATTTTTACTAGAATTCTGCTCTGTGATTGTTTCAAAATGCATAGTTTGAACATGGCTTTCTTTAAGAATTTCAGTACTTTCTTTTCTTTCTTGGTGAAATAAACCTTGAGGTGTGAAATGATTATAAACTGAACTGAAAATTTTATCTGGTGGCACATTGATTTCACTGTTTTTATTATCAAGCATCGAAGCATTTTCAGAATTTTCATTGAGACTATCAGAACCCATAGCTTCAAAATTTTGTTGCTCAAAAACAGTTGAAGCACTTTTGTTGAATTTCACATTATTTTTAAAAATGGTTTCTTCAGACTGATAAATATGAGCCTCTGACTTAGAAGAATCAAGTATACTTAAGTACCCTTTGCTGATTGCTTCTTCAATTGGCATAATGTTTCCACTGTAGGGGTGCTTAAATGTACCACGATTTTCATCAATAAGACCTCTTTCATAAGCTTCATCAAAAGTAATTTTTAAGTCAGTACCAAAACTTCGACTTGCAACAGTGACATACCTTGTAGTTGTTTTTGTTATAGCAGTCAAAGTAACAGTAATATTGAGAAGAGATTTTAACGTTACAGCACCTTCTTCACTTATAATGCCTTTCTGAACAGCTTTCATCAGTCTTAGAGGACATTTGGAGCCAGGATCAATTATCTGACCTGTCTGAGGGTCTAATAAACCTTTTGTGACACATTCAAGAAGAGTTTGTTCAACACCGTTTTCATCATTTATGCCAATATTCTTATTCAGCATTTCAAATACTTGAGGTATAACTAATTTGTGTTCAATACCCTCCAACATAGACATGCGCTGGCCAGTATTCAGATCTTGAACATAGCCAGAACTTTTATCGATAATAGATTTTGAAACAGCTGAATTAAAACTCACATACTCGTTTATTGTAGTGTCCCTGAAGCCTTCAATATCAAAAATCATTCTTTTATCTACTGCAGCAAGGTACCCTCTATTTGCAGCCTGGGCAAGTGATATTTTTTCATTAGATTTAATATCAAAATATTTACAGTCTGGAGTTATAACGCCTAAAATTAAAGCTTCAGCTAAAGTTAGCAATTTATCACTATCAGGATACAAAATGCATTTTACATCAAGACTTAATAAACCGATCACTCCAGCCCTTATCAGTGAGACTTTCGTAGAGTTTAAAACATTCAGAATTTCACCATTTTCCATGATAAGACCCTTCTCAAAAGCATGTTTTAAAGTTAATGATGGCATAATTAAGTGACGTTTTTGAGCTTCTTTCAGAGAAAGCTGCTGGCAATCTTTCGGATGTAAGAAACAACCAGTATCTGGATCAATAAGTTTACTATTTATAGCATTTGGTATTGTAACAATATTTCCAATGCTAGGGTCAACTACTTCTCTGAGTCGCTTAGATAAAACTCCATGAACAAGAGCTTCATTAATAGTAAGCAAATTACCAGAGTCTGGATCACATATTTTACCTTCATCTTCAACAACTAATCCTGAATTAAGTGCATCAGTAAGCGAGAGAGAATCTTCAATAATGGGAGAAGCAGCATACAAATAACCTAATGAATATGCTTCCGGAATGGAAAAAGAAGCTGCAGAATATGGACTAGTAAATATACCTGAATCTGGATCCAAGTAACCCTTAAGAACAGCTTCAGGTATTAAATATCTAATACTGTTTATGATATTATTTTCAATAAAATATATAACATTTTCTTTGTTTATTATTCCTAACTTCACAGCTTCTTCTACAGATAAATCTTTTTCATTTGATGAATCCATAAATTTTCCTGTTTTAGGATTAAATAATTTTCTTTGGATTGCTTCCAGAAGTGTAATACTTTTTTTATTCTTTGGATCTGTGATATCATAATACTGAATAATACTGTTATAGAAACTGGCATCAATATAAGACAAAGAAACGGCTTCTTTGAAAGAATATTCCATTTTCCTAACACTATCTAGATAACATAATGTTTTCATATTTATTATATTTTTATCTAAAGCTTCATTGAAACTAATATTTGATTTAGTACTAGCATCAAAAATAGTTTTCTTTTCAAAGATGGTCTGGTTACTACAATTAAAAAAAACTGATCTCTGACTACATTTTACTTCAGTAAATGATAATGAAGTTCCTGCATATTCTAAAAGTTCGTCTTTTTCTGATGCAGAGTTTTCTACATCCATGCTTATATCTAGAACTGTGGTGTAAGGTGTCTTAGGGGACTCTTTCTTATGGATTTCATATGGCAAATAGCTTTTGTATAAATCATGTTGAAAGGAGTTGTTTGTTTGTAAATGTTCAGTAGTGTTTTCTCCTGTACTGGAAACTGATGTATTTAATGATGTATGGTTAATGTAGTTTGTTTTATGACTTAAAGAATAAGGAACTTGTTCCAAGATGAGTTCTGTACAGTATGTCTTCAGAGTGATGGGAGCAGCTTGAATGATGGTAACAGAAAACTGTGAGGGAAAGGAAATGTGGGAAAACAGAAACAAATAAAAATCCTATCAGAATAAAGTACATGCAAAAATAACAGAGTAAAACTTAATAATAGACAGAATAAGAGAAATTACAGAATAGAAAAACCAAGCACTGAAATAACATTTACCAAGGAAATTTCTGATAACAACAAAAAGTAATGAATGATATGCAATAAATAAGAAACAAACAAAGAAAGGAATATTTCAATTCATATGCACAGACTTTAACGAAATATTTATGTATATATGTACTGTGTTCTGATTTAAGCCAATTAATAATTAATGTTTTGCATCAAATTATGCACATTTAAACACTTATCTGAGCCTTAATGTTTTCAATACATACACACTAATATTTCAATAATATACTCTAATATACATATTAATAACTTTTCAATGCATGAATATGCTGAGTTAAATAATTCAAAAAACAACATAGCTTTAAACTATGAATATCAATTTGTGAAAGCATCTATAAATTGCATTGTTTGCAATGGTAACAATAGCTGAAATATTATGCTGTATAACTAATATGACCTTTATCAATGTAAAGTTAATATCTTTTTTCTAAGCATATCATTTACTATACTTTGGAAATGTTTCAATACACATCCAGTATGCTATGTAATTAATAATAAAACAGGATTTAATCTTTAGATTTAAGTATGATATTTATAAAAGCTTTAGCAATAGTTAAACTCTTTTATGGTAGAGCAAGCTTTGAATGATGAGCTTAAATTTCTAATATGAGAATCATTATAATAATAAATATTGGTTTTTCATAACATCTAGTGATAATTCATAATGATGGAAAAATTAATTGGCAGACATGGTTAACCTGAAGTTTAAAATAAGATAAAATACTCTAAATTGACATGTTGAAACCACATTTAAATATAAATAAAAGGTGACGAATTTTCTCAGATGACCTGTCTGCTTTATCAGCCAGAGTTAGAATGGTTGCTTTGATCAAGTTTGTCACCTTTTGTTGATTTCCACAGGGTTGCTGTAATCAGAATTAATGTTTAGATGTGTGGAAGGTTGAAAGGAAGATCTTTGTTGCAATGTAGTTTGGTCATAATTTCAGATGTTTCTCCAATTTTTAGGCTCCTTTTATGCCAGAGTTTAGCAATGATTTTGGCTTTGGATGATTCAAATTACTGAGTGTGGATGAAGATTTTAACTAATGATGAGCTATTTTCATTAATGAACTCTAGGCAGAGAGTTTATTGGTATCTTTTTTTATGTCAGGCAATTCTTACTTATTGTTTTCTAATTATTGACCCAGTATATTGAGTTTCTGCATTTGTGGTATATACTATCCCAATTGCAATGAAGATACAAGCACAAAAACACAATACATCAAGTCAACATCAATCTATAAGAATTGCCAAATATAAAAATGATTTCAATAAACCCTGCCAACTAGTTCAACAAAAATATATCTTTTGATCAAATACTTCTCCAAGCATCCACACCTAATAATCTAATGAGACAAGACTAAAATCTTACTACAACCCCAGCATAAAAGCAGCCTCAGAATTAGAGAAGCACTTAAAACTAGTACCAAACCATATTGCAACAGAAATTTTCTTCTTAATCTTCCATATGTATGGATTTTGATTCTGAGTACAACAGCTCTGCAGAAACCAAGAAAAGGTCACAAACTCATTGAATCCTCCACAGCTCCAGATGATGAAGCAGGCAGGTTATACGTAAAAGCTCTTTTACTTATGTTTAATCAGGCCCAGTGTGTCAACCTTGAGTAGTTTAACCTCCTTTTTAACTTGATAATTTGTAATTTTAGCAACAGAGGAAACATATAGAACTAACAATAAAAAGTGAAGCTATCTCTGTCCAAAACATTCTACCTTGCCTAAAAAGATTCAAACAACAAAAAAAATCTTGCTAATTTTTACAAATATATATAAATCTATAGATTTAACTCAAAAATAAAACAATACACATATACCAATTATCCCTAAAAATGAAAGCCCAATAAATTTTGAGTTTTTACAATTAAAAAATCAGCTAAAGAAATTCAAAATCGGCTTTAGTATAAATCTAATTTCAGTGAAATTCACAGACCATCAAATATAAAAATGATTAATAATTTATATTACTATTGGAGGAATTAAAATAACAAGAATCAGAGTAATATTCATAAATCAGCAAGAGTAGTTTTGCAAATGCTTGCAGCTGAAAAAGGTTCTATATTTAAACCTTTGAAATCAATTCTGTAAATCTATAAATATGCTGATTCTTGTTGCTTTACTCCTCCAATAATCATTATTCAACATGTTATTTTAACTCAAAATTGATACTAGTGCTTGAGAAGAGTTTAAGATGCCAGCAAGATACCGAGTAGAGTTTAAAAATAACAATTTGAAAGTATCCAATAAAATTTACGGTAGCAGCATAACTTTTAATTAACAATAAGTATTGCATCTCAAAATTTTGACTTCCACTACAAGTTCAATGGCAGGGAAATTTAAAAAAAAAATAATTTGGATGTTAAGCAAAAGTTGAAGTGATTTGAAGTTTAGATTATCGACACTACTTATATATTATTTCATATTTGCAGCATGAAATGGATTATTAGTATCTGAAGAAACTAAAATACAATTACCCTGAATTAGAACTGGAAAATTATGACCCATCTGTTACTAGGACTGAAAGCTTTATCCTAGCAGAAACAAACGTGTAAATGCATAGCAAGAATATCTACACTGACATGATGTTGCTTAAGCAATCGGCTTTAAAAGTAACATGCTCAACACATGCAGCTTTTTGCAAATGGAAAAGATGAATTACTACAGACTACAAATATTAACGACTAAACTTGAACATTTTCCCCAAGCAGGATACTACTAACTGTTCACTTAATTTGCTAATTCTGGATTTATCTTGCACCGATGCTCTCCATAATAGATAGCAGTTCCATAAAATAAATATTTTATTGACTACTGTGATTTACTTACTCTCAGATATTAGAACTAATACTCGTATTAACTGAGATTACTGTTACCTACCCCAAATAATTCTCTTACTCCATACCAGTTTTCAGATCTTTATTTTTTATTACACTACAACTTACATATTTTCATTTAATTTTAACCTGTAATGTTTCAAAATATCTACCAGTATTTATCAGTTTCTCTTCTTAGTTAAACAAGGGAAAAAATTTATAAATTTCTTTACCACATCAATATAGATGTACCATATTTTTCAGGTTCAAATATAAAACTCTGTATCAAAAATGCAATGAAATAGTTTGATCGCAATGACATCTGTTAGGAGCAATGATGGAACAGAGATGATGAAATGATTAAAACTGGATAGCAATCAATTCATTTATTCAATAATCTTGAAACCAAAATTGTTATATAAGGTGTTTCTAAACTAATTCTAAATTAAATTGCTAAGAGTTTTCTAAACTCTATGATAAAGAGTGATAACACAAACCAAAACATTTTTCACGACAGAAAGTATGACCACAAATGCAGCAATTACATGCTTGTAGAGGGTGCAGTCAGATATGTGTATAAAATCTAGTAACAAACTGCAAACTGGTTCATCAGTGACCAGGCATGGATCAATACATACAAGATGAAAGCAAATGCATACTTTGCATATAGTTTGGCTGATATATATATATATATGTGATATAGTTTGGCTGATATATGATAAGGACAGACAAATACAAAGGTTTCAATGATAGCGTTTTCTCAATATGCAATGTTCAGACCAAAAGATGTTTGACCCCTTGCACTGCAAGCTCTCAGAAAGGAAGCTCTTATATGCTGAATGCATGACATGGATTGTAGCAGTAGTGTTCAAATCCTGGCCATATCAAGAGATTATGTATCATGTAGGGCAGCAGTTGATATTAGAAAACTAGAGTTACAAGTTGTCACACATATAATATATCCCACATCATGGTCATGCTGAAGTTTCATAACATCAACACTGCATAGTTGCAACTTAGAAATCAATGTGCACACAATGAATTTACACACTAATTCCTGCAGCAAAGTGGAGAACACCTAAATATCTAACACAAATGAAGCCACCATTGAGGCCACAGTGTGCATGTTGCTGGAACATTTGGATGAAACTAGTTACCTGATGCTCCTCCAACAAGATTTGCCAGAACTGTTGCATTATGTACCATCAATAATCTGCTGGAAGATATAGTTTCAGCAAGACAGCATACTAGCACATTTCAGCATAGCAGTGCATGCTTACCTGTATGTCATATTTTCAGGCAAGTGCTGGTCGAGGCATTCTTATAACTTTGCCCCAAAGGCTTATTTGATCTGTTTCTTTCTTGATTTCTCTTTATGGAGACATCTCAAATCCCTCATGTCCTATTAGATCTATTGCAGAAATTACTTCCAGGCTTTCAATAGCTACTGTTAAGTTCACAATATGCTTAATATTTTTCAGAGAACATGGGAATCCATTTTTGCTAAAGAGCAACTAATTTTAACAGTTTCAACTAGCAACTCCTTTAAAGTAGTTTAGTTCTCAAGAATTAAACTACTTAATAGCAGGTACTATTGACAGAGACTTTTCTCCTAACATTACTGACCAAGCTCCTAACATTACTGATGAGAAACTTTTAACATCTCAACACATAAAAAAGCACTCTCTCATTTAAAGAGATTATATGATTTCTGTTGTCATTCCTTTCTTTCAATCGATTAGCTATAAAATTTTACATTTTTTACAGAAGTTCAATATTCAAGTCATTTTCTATTCTATCAATAACATTCCATATAAGATCTTATTCCAGATATGAACACTTGGGGTAGAGGACTCCTGGCCACAGTGGTTTCATTTGCATTCGTCAAACTAAAACAGCTTTAAAATTTCACATTAAGGTATATGCTAGGGGGAACAATATAAATCCTCTATTCCCTAACACTGTTGGTCAAAAAAATCACATTTTCCATTTTTCTTCAGTCAAATTTATTCAAAAATCATCTTCCATTGACGAAATCATCTTCCATTGATGAGTTAAGATTTCCTAGAGGGATTTTACAAATCTCTCAATTCTAATTAACACAAAGATTCTAGTCTATTTTACCCTCCCTTTAAGGAAATTACTTCATAGTTGTTTTCATTTTTTATCAATACATGGCATTGGTAGCTTGACTTCCATCCTCTTCGTGTGACCGGCTTCTTTTTTGACATTTACATATCTGCAGCTGAAGAGAGTCAAATTTATGATTATGCTTATTCTTCTTGCCTTAACCTATTTATATGCTTCTGATATTTCCACATTACATTAGTTAAATTTCATTGCATTTTGAAGGCTTTTTTTTCCTCGACATTTGATGCTATCATTTGGTTAATGTTATCAAAATAGCCATGGACAAATGTGATCATAAGCGGTGCCTACGGTGCATTTAATTGTAATGAATGAGGATATTTGATCAGATATAGAATCAAAGATATGTTAAATGCTTTGCTGAAAGAAGACCTGACAAAAACAATAGTATCAGCAATAATTCGCAGAACATCATCAAAATACTGTCAGAATTGTTAGTGCTCTGAAGGATCACTAAAGGTAACAAAATACTACAGGCAAGAATACTCAAGCAGTAATACTAAGTATGATAGTTGCAAGCCAATCCACAAAGGAACAGGCTTACACAGGCCACTTGCAAATACAGATTCTTTGGTTATCCAAAATATGGAAAAACTATGATTTATCACTGAATGCAATATGGCCCCACTGTGCTGAATTCCATACTCTGCAACCATGACAGCACTCTTAACTAATGCCCAAAAGTAGCAATACAATGAAGACTAAGAAGGAAATTTGGTCTCCAGAACCTTGCAACATTGTTTTATAACATGAATTGCAGATAATGAACCTTCCATACAACTAAATTAGTTCACATTTAAGGCACCCTTCTTCCAAGAAGTTCTCATTTTAGATCTGTCATTGCCCTCATGATGGTTATGAAAGCTTTACTGTTATCACACATAATGTTACCTTTTGACTGTGATATGTTTTTTGCTGGAAAAATTAGCCCTTTTTTTTAAAGTTGATGATGCATTTTCCATCAAACTTGCTCAGATTCTTGCTGGATAAGTCTTCAGGACATTCTCATTTGCTAATACAAACATTAATGCATAAGTAATTCAAACTGACCCACAACTAAGCAGTGTACCTTATATGGGTTTTGGGTATGCATTTTCCACTTGCTTTAGATTAACTTATAACATAAACTCTATCTTAGATTATCTTAAAACCTTAGATCCTTATAAAATACAAATTATGAAATTAAACTGCATGTTTTCTATCACTTGCCTGATGGCTAAGATATATCTGCATATCAGATAGTTTCAAGATAGCAGGTTGATTTTTCTATGTGCATAAATTTTTGCAACACAGAGAGTATTTCACTTCAGAAATTCTCATTCATAAAGAGAACTCTTTTTATTATAGCATTTTTAACTCTCAAATTTTGGAACTACCAAGACAAAGACCAAATTTATCCTTTTTAATATAGGCACTTCTCTTTAACAGATACTTTTACAAACTGATAATTTCAGAAATACTTCAATTTATAAAATAAAAATTATGAAATTAAATAACTTACACATAAACCTTTTTATTTACCACTAATTTTCAATAATTTCCATAACTTGTAATGAAAATTTCATTTTCTTAAAAAAACTATACACATAATATAGATTAAATTTACTAAGGAAAATAAATTGCCATAAGATGTTATAATTTTGATTTAACTTGTATGATAAAAAGGAAAGCATATTGATAACCATTTGTCTATGCAAACAATTACAAAAAATATGCTGATTATACTGGTATAATATGGAAATTAATTCTTAATTCTAAATTATTTTCAAGATATTTAATTACCTTTTGGCCTTCTTGACTAGAAACTAAACTTTTCAGTTCATTCAATCTCTGTAACACAGTATTCACCAAATCTGTGTATTCTTGGTTTAAAACATCTAGTTCTTGGCTAACGATTTCAGCCCCTGATAACAGTTTGGCCTTCTTAGCATCCGATGCAGCAGGATTATCATCAAGGCCTTCTTGATACTGCTTCAGTAGGAGGTCATATATCTAAGTAGAGGATACACAAGCTCACATATCATGTTCACCTACCAGGACCCACAGGAATTTCGGATGGTAGAAAATGTCCCATACGTGATTTGCAGAAATGTTTAGCAATTCAGAGCAGTGAGAAATATGAAAATTCTGATTCATAACAGAAGCATAATGGGCAAAGCATCTGAGGATAATCTTCCTAAAGAGAGAGAGCTATATCTTTGAGGAAGATATTTTAAGTGGAACTGGCTAATGCTAATGTAATATTAGAGGACACAGACATAGTCAGATTGCAAGACTTCCATTCAGCTCCAAAGATTTATACTTAGCAATTTTTAGGTCTCGCAAGATATGAGTAAGCAAGTTCAGAGCATAGAATATATTTTTATGACAAGAAAAACTATTATCTTTCAGTTCTCAGGAGTACCTATTAGTATTTGTGTAGTACAAGTAAAAACTTGCAATCAAAGCACTTACAACAATAAATTAATTACAAATCAAATTTTCAGAATGCCACAACAGTAAAATCTACTTTAGGCTTAGTTTCAGAAAGAGCAAATTCAATAACAGTTTCTTATAATAATAATAAATAAATCTCAGACCATATATTATCAAATATTATATACTACAAAATCTATTTTTGCCTCAGTTTCAAAAGATGCAAATTTTAAGAAAGGTAACAATTTGTATTAGCATAATTTAGAGCCTTATGCAGTTTCAATGAGTGAATTTTAAATACTGTAGCAGTTCAGAAAAGTGAGTGGCAATTCGAAGCAGGTAGTAAGTATGCATTTAAACTGAAATAATGTTATATAGATTTACAATTTTACAACTTCAAAATTTATCTACTAGTATACAATTGCCAAAGCTTCAATTTCAATATAACTTTTAAAATAACAATTCAATTACATTACTAGTTTCATGGGACTCATTTTTAAGCTTAAAAATAGATAAAATAATTAATTTTACCACGAGAAAAAATGTCATATTAATAGCTGTGTAAACAGCAATTTTTATCTTTGCAAAGTGATTTAGTCCCCTCGTGTAACTATAATATTCCTTTAACTCATGCTCCACAATTCATGTTTCTTTTCTTACACAATTTATTTCTGAAAATTAAACATAGTTTCGGTTTGGTTTGGTTTATGTGATTACAACGAAGCCTTGAGGGCTATATGCCTAAAGGAGAGATGCCTTCATGGAGGACTTTCTAAGAGAAACTGGCTTATATATACAATGCACATGGGGAAAACCACGAAAACGCACATGCAGCCAGCCTGTTTAGGGGATTCGAACCTGAGACCGAACTACCAGTATTCAGAGACTTTGCCACTTGGCTGCTAGAAGGCTAACATAGTTTGGGAAATTCAGACGAGCAAGAAATAATAATCAACTTTTATATCCAATTGAAAATGGGCTCTTCTCTTCGTTTCACCAATAAAACTTAAGCAAGATAATGCATGCATCACATGATGAATCAGAATTCAGAAATCTGCCCATACTCTGATTTGCAACACCAATACTTTTCTGCAATTCACGTTTTATAAATGGATGCACAGTATATGTCACACATAGTATATGCGCTTTTGAAATGAAAGATACAACATTTAGTTAATTACTGCTATTGATAAGACAGTCATTCATTTTGGCTAATATTTATAATTTGCCATACTTTGAACAGTTATGGCAAACTGTTTTAAATAATTAATACATACAATCATAAAAATCTAAAGAAATAAATTTCTATAAAAACCTTTTTAAATATTAAAACATTTACTAAAATATAAAAAATTAATTTTAAATAATTGTTGCATGAAAAGTATAATAATCTTATGTATCACTTGTTTGCTTTAGAATTAAAAAAATGTTTCAAGATATAAAAGTTCACAAATAAAATTTATACACATATTTCTTACTTTGCTAAACATATTTAAAATAATATTTTAGCTTTCTCATTAATACATCTCTGTATCTGATGGATATCTGTACTCTTCCAACTCCTGTATATATATATCCCTTCCATTGATATTTCATCATAATGTCTCTTTTTTTCGCCTATGGTTTTTGATTACTTGATATAAAATTAGCAGTTAAACAATAAGAAAATGCAGGAATGAAAATAAAGTGAATCAAATTTATATCACTTAATCAATAAATAAATACAGGAGGAACACGAAATGTCGTACAGGGAGGGGGGGGGAATTAGAAATTCCTCTATTTAATACTTTATTTCCTGAAATAAATACTCTAAAATTTGAATTTAGATGTTATACAATTTAGTTGTTATAATTTAGTACATTAAGTTATTAATAATCAGGGCAATGCACAGCATTAAATTGCTACATTAAGTGATAATATATTAATTGATTTAATTAAAAGCATTTGAAACTAAGTTAATCCCATTCTAACTCCTAGTTTAGTGCAAAGATGTTTGTAGTTATACCTTATTGTTATAGCATTAGAATTCTTACCTTTGCTTCACGCACAAAACGACCACCATCAACATTTACATCTTCAATGGCAGCTTTTCTCTGACTCAGTGTGTGGTAAGTACTCTAAAAATGAAACCAGATTTTAAAAAAGGATAATTGCTCCATTAATGTTTAAGAAATATAAAATTTACTAGTCTCCTGACATAAATATTATCAAAACATAGTTTGATCCAAACTTTCTGTCTAAAAACTGCACTGAATTTTTACATTATCTTTTTTCCCCTTTGTATAATTAAGCTGAAATATTTTTTACAGGAACTTCTCATACCAATTACATCCATAAATATATGGTACAGTCAAAAGTCGTTAATCTGGACTCATCGGGACTTCGGCGATTCCGGATTATCGATTTTTCCAGATTATAGATCATCAGTTTAAATCTCGTAAGATGGCATGCACAAATTCTAAAATTCAAAATATGAAACCGTAATTTATGAAATAAAGAACAATTATGATCTAAAGGGTATCAAAATTTACAAAAAAAAAAGCTTAATATTTATTGTTTACTTTATTAAACATTTCTTTCAATGTAAGTTGTTTAAGTTGCTTCGTTTTCATGTGATAATACTTTCTCTTTAATTCTATTAAACAGACATAATTTCTTGTTTAGTTACAAAGTTCTGCTGTTCTAGTCCTATAATTGCTGCGTCGAGAATACCGACTACTTTGACAATCGAAATTTTTTCGTTTTCAATAACCTCTGTGTCATTTTCTTCACTATCGGAAGCGAATTATAATGACGAAGAACTTGATTTAAATCATATCAAAGACGGAGTACATCGAGATGAAATACTACATTTAGTAAGGAATTATAAGCCAAATAAAATAAAAACATCTGCCCTGAAGATAAGGATAGTGCTGACAGATCAACTTCCAATTCATTGCACGCCGTGGCATTTCCCTCCCCCCACAGAGCAGCGTGAAATTGATAAACATATTTCGGAATGATTAGATAATCAAAGGATATATATGCCTTTATCCATTTTTTGCAGCAATTACACTTTCTGTTTAATGGACTTTGAAACATACTTTCGCTTTGTAAATCCTTTAGATATTAGTAAATATATATCGGAAATTCTATTTGACATAATCGAAAGTTCAAGCTTTCTTTTATAAAATTGCTCTAACAGTCTGCAAAAAATAATAAGCCGGATCCAATTCGAAGATTAAGGAACAACGCAATCAGCAACATTAACTGAATTAGATAATTTTAGCTTAACTTATACCATCTGTTATACATTAAACGCGCATACGTAAATGTATTATGTGCATGCGCACACGCATATTCGCAGCTGTAAAGGTCTTACGCGCACGCGTAAATGCCTATGCGCATGCATCAACGCAACGCATGCGCAGAAAGTTTGTAGCTTTAAGGTACAGATTATAGATCATTCCGGATTATGGGTGTCCAAATTAATGACTTTTGACTGTATATGCTAGAAACTACTGGTTTTCATCTGTTCTTTCCTTTAATACGTGAAGTTTTCTGGCAAGTACAATGCAAACACATATAGTTAACTCCATGGGGCAAAGGCTAGACCAAATTGAAAGAAATCAAATGGCAGAAATTAGTGAAATAATGTGGGATGAACCAAGAAGACTCATGACAAGCTGTAGAACCAGATAAGCTGAGGAACAACTTAACAAGTTTAGCTGTGATAATTCAGTTCAGACTTACATCATCCATTATGGTTAACCCTGGCAAGCTGATACATGAAGCATTTTTGAAAGACATAGCATTAAAAACTGAGGCTAAATTTCTAGGCAAAGTTAATGGTGAACTTTTGAAAATATTACCTAGAACGGCTTATGATCACCGTATGCTAAGTGCACTTTTCCTGGAAAATAAAATCGAACATTATGTGATAAACGCCAACTACGCACGCCCAATAAAAGTGATGTTCAGAGGTTTATCTCTCACCACTAAGACTGACAATATTGCTCACGCTCTTTCAGCAAAAGGTTTTAGCATCAGCAAAGTAACACATTTAACCAGAAGAAGAACTTGCGCGCCCATGCTGCTGTTCCTTGTGCAAGTAATTAAGAACGATTTGGCTGATGAAATATTTCATGTTACTGATCTACTGTTATTTGTTGTCACAGTAGAAAAATATGTTTCGAAGAATCAGGTGCCACAGTGTTACAACTGTCAAAAGAGGCACTATTCTTCGAAAAACTGTCATTTCCTGCCCAAGTGTGTAAAATGTGTAAAATGTGCTCTGGATCACAAAACCATGGACTGACTGAATAAGGGCAAAATGGAACAACCAAAGTGTCAAACTGCCAAAAAAGTCATGTGGCCTCATATTGTGGGTGTGAGATGTTTCCAAAAAAATAGATCAAATGCACCAAAAAAAAAAGATAGCACTGTTAAAAAAGGAATTTCTTAAGCGGAAATGGCTAGGAATCAGGCAAATTAGTTTAGTGATAATGCAATGAATCAACCCCCATCAGCTTCTGCTGCATATAACGAGGCCTCAAAGGCTAATTATCTTATAAAATTAACTGATTTAAGTAATGCTTTGAAAAATTTAAATGTTTCAAATAATAGCTGGAAAGTGCATTCTCTTTCCAGCTATGCCATTGGCTCTTTGACGATCTGACCACTGATCCACGCCCAGCCTCGTCGAATGTCGTCATTCTCTCAATCACATAGGACTCTGACTGCTGGACCTGTTGCTACAAAGCTCAGATTACAATTTGCCATGTAATTGCCTCACATCCTTTATGCTGAACAATAGCTAATATATGCTGTTACACTGACCTGATTTCTGCAAAGTAACTCTATCTTACAGAAAGCTTATATCTGAAAGCTTACAAACACGCATCATAAAAATTGGTTTTTTGACTGGTTCTCACTTCGAAATATGCCATGTTATGCTAACAAAAGCTTATGTTCTTATGTTTATGTTCCTCTCAGGATGCAGCGATCACACAGGAGCCTGAATCTTGTGTCTCTTGCAGCTAAATCTTCAGACTTACACACTTAGTAACCCAACCACCCAGAGACAGTTATTAGTTAAAATGTGAATATGTAGATAACAAACTTTGGTTAAGGAGTAATTAAAATCTTACCGTGTACTTCAGTCACGGAGTAATAAAATCTTACTGTTAACAGGATTGAGAATTCCTTGAACATTCAAAAAGAAATTAAGACAAGCCACTGAGTTTTTACTGGAAATGCCAAAATCACTCTTTATCCTAGATTTATGGTTGGTTGGTTGATTTTTAATGGCACAAAACCTTGAAGGTTATTATGCACTAGACGAATGGTGAATAAAATCCAAAATGCCCAAACATACTGCATCAGATGAATTGTTAAAATGAACCTGCAATACTGATGAAGGCATGGAAAAATGACTGTGAAATGCTCTAGCAATAGGTAGAACAGGATAAAAGGGGGAAAAATAAAACTTCAAATCATATGGTAAAAAGAGATGTCTTTTTAAAAATCTTATGAGGTTGATGTGAGGGTTTCTTCCAATGAGATCTGTTAAGTTAACATTCGTAGAGTTAAAATAATATTTGCATTTCTGACTAAATGCAGGACAGCAGGTTGAAATGTGATTGACTGAAACAGGAATGTTGCAAGTGCCACAAATAGGCTCATTATCTCCTTTAAAGAGATACTGATGTGTCAGTCTGCAGTGACCAGTTCGTAGGTAAGTCAGTAGTACATCCTCTTTTCAGTTCCCTCTCGGCTCCCAATATTCCAAATTGGATTTTACCTGCCCTTAATTTATTCAGAGTCTGGCATTCCCAGAGTTCTTGCCATCTGGACAAGATCTTTGTTCTGATGTAATTCTGTATGTCTGTAAATTCTGTCTGTCTGTCCTAATCATTTTCAGAGGTAATATCAGCAGATTTTGCAGCGATATCGGCGAGTTCATTGCCTTTGCCTACATTTATGGCTATGGATTGGTTCAATGGATTTTTTTAATACAGTCTACCTATCCATTTTTATAGCATTTAATAGGAACTACTCAAGTAGCAATAACTTGCTTAAACCAGTTAAGTTTTCAGCAAGATAACCAAACCTTATTAATCAATACTCAAATGGAATACTTAGTTTTGTGATTCAAAATATCTTAAAAGAAAACACATATTATTAATATTAAATAATAAATCTGTAAATTTGAATAAAATGGTGGAAGAAAAATATGAGTAAAAACAACAATTTTAGTGGTGCCACCTTATCGATTCGTAAAGTAACTAGACAGTTAAGTAAGGTGTCTCACCTACTGGGAGAATACTAAAATTTTTGTTAGATTATTTGTCATTATCTTGATTTTTTACCAATATATTTACCATTTCATTGCAAATTTACAGTTTTACAGATTACACAGTTTAGTACCTGCTACTTAATAGCCAATGTCTTTGAGAAATGCAATTTTACTACAGTCAGAATAAAGATGAAAATTATAATAGATTTTTTAATATAAATTTTTAAGTGAATATTGTTATATGGGTTTTAAATTTTATATTATTCTTCCTCCAGAATTAGGAATAAAAGCTGCTAAATTCATAGTAGTAGTTGTTTTTCTAAAAATTTCTGATTCTGCCACAGACTTAAAAATTATAGGAAAAAAAATCGGCTTTGAATTGACACGGTTAAAGCATTCAATAAACTAGCTACTCAAATAGAGATGATTTCTCAGAGAACTTTCTAAGAGAACTTTTTCATGAACTATCGATGTGGTATATCATAATTGGACTTAAAGGTGGCATAGCGCCAAGCATCGAAGCCTGTGCAGCAATTAAAAAATAACTGGAATGTGAGTAGCTGTAGTTATGAGTAGCTGTACTTATAAGTGTGTATGCAAGTGATGATATATTTTGTACACATAATAAAATAGCATGTAGAGTAAAAGAGTGTATCTTGTGAATTAATTGCCCACTAAAGGATACATGGCAAACTTCTTAAATTTCACAGAAATAATGGGAACTTGAAGAATTTATAATTTTAAATAAAGCCAGATATTGGAGAAATTCACCAATTTCTCTCCATATTTCTCCATTTCTCAATTACCTTAATTTTATGCATTGAGAGAAAAAAAATTCAGTGACTAGCATATGTAAGTCTTTTTAATAATAAAGCATATACTTAATTATAAAATAATTATTCATATAGATTTAATTGTGGCAAATTTGATACAAAATAAAGAAACATAATATAAAATTCAAGTAGCTTAGCTTATTTTGAATACCTTTTCCTGCATTCAAGTTTATAAGTACTTTCTACACATCAAAAATAAACATACTGCAACTGTCAGTCAGAAAAGCAAATTTCATATACAGAATCAGTTTTAGAAATGGCAAGTGAGATTACACTTCTAATTTAAGGATTGAAATTTTCATTTTGAAAATAAGCCTTGCTATTTCAAAATGCACTTACAAAGAAATGTTTATATTACGTTTGTACTATAAACTTCACATAAATACTCAATGATTATCCATAGATATTATTATAAAAAATATTATTATATGTTTATTAATTCGCTTATTACCATTGAAGATTCAATTTCATGATGCATTTCTTGCGCTTCCAATCGGCTAACAGATTTCAGAGATTCTACTTTAGCACACATTTGACTCACAAACACTTTTTGTTCATTGTACTTTCCTTTGTAACTTTGAAGTAAGTCCATAGATGTTTCTAAAGCTCGAAGTCTAAAAAATTGAAGAAATTGCAATATCAATAAAAAATTACTTTCTGTCAAAATTGACAGCAACACACATTATTTAAAGAGATAGCCCACCCATGGATCACAAAATTACAAGTACAATCATTAAAAAGTGCTACACGTTGACAAAGTACTGTTCTTAGTTTTTTAGTCTTGAATACTCTTACTTCTGGCAATCTAGAAATTTATACAGATAGGAATGCATTAAATGCTAGTAAAATACTGAAGAATTTCTGTGGAACATCTATAGTTCTTTAACTTATTTTAAAGAAATACATTTTTAATCTTCTGATCAATAATAGAAATTATCATAATACCGTTACCTTTTCTTTACGTACAGGTTCGTGGATTTGGAGTGAAAAATGGCGACACTTGATGAAGTATCGAAACACAATTTATTAGCCAGTATTACTCACGGCAGCTCAAAAAACATGTTTACGGGCCTCGAAGAACTACTATAAACATGCTGAAACAATCAGCGACACAGCCTTCAGGCTACCAGGCTATAAGGGTGAAGACCACTTCACGGCAAAGCACCAGAGTGCAGCTCCTGACTCTGCTCGGTCGTTCTCAGAACTCTATATATTCTCAAGACTCTCAATGCTCCAACTCGCGATGCACTCGACGATACACTAGAGACTCCCGACTCGATTTGGTCATTCTCAGAGCCCAACACTCTTTGAGATAAACTCGATTGCACTAACTCGCGACAGACTAAGAGACTCTCTCGATGCACTCGATGACCAATATGGCACTGGACTACGAGACACTCGCTCATTGACTCAACTAGGCACAGAGCACTGACTCTTTGCATATCAGCAGGTTTTATATAGCTTCTGGCTTGCGTTCGAGAGCATTCTGGGCTAAACCAGTAAGAATTCATTCCAGAAGATTCTCCATCCGTCTATGGCATATCGTCAATTGTGTCACCAAATGGGTGATTTCTCACAAAATGTGGCAATCCTGTCTTCTCTTGCCATTTTCTGGCAACCCTAAACCTGCTTTGCGGGGAAGCTATTTTACCGCAGTTGGACATCTCGTAACAATGCTACATGCAGTGAAACCTGATTATTCAAACTTCCATAATCAATCCCCCTAATTAATTTTGGCTTTACAAAGTTTGACTGCAGATTCCCAAATTGTTTTGTAGATATTCTGTGGTATGCTGTGGAGATGGTCATTTCTAAAAAGGGAATGTTTTGCATATCGTCAATTGTGTCACCAAATGGGCGATTTCTCACAAAATGTGACAATCCTGTCTTCTCTTGCCATTTTCTGGCAACCCTAAACCTGCTTTGCGGGGAAGCTATTTTACCGCGGTTGGACATCTCGTAACAATGCTACATGCAGTGAAACCTGATTATTCAAAATTCCATAATCAATCCCCCTAATTAATTTTGGCTTTACAAAGTTTGACTGCAGATTCCCAAATTGTTTTGCAGATATTCTATGGTATGCTGTGGAGATGGTCATTTCTAAAAAGGGAATGTTTTGTTTATTTCCTCATGAATATTGTTTACTTTTGGACATAGTCAGCATAAGGAGATCAACTGTAATAACTTAACAATGCAACAACATCAAATTAGAAAAACAACAAAATATAAACACACCATTTTGGGCAAATTAAAATAAACGAATATTTGAAAAAGTATACTTAAAATACCTATCAGCAACTTGAGTGCCTGCCAGGTCCCATCGTCGTCTAACTTTTTTCACATCTTCTTCAAGCTTGCTAACATCTGTATGCACAGTTTGATGAGGTCGACTCAATTCAACATAATGACGCACAGAACTCACACTCTGACTTATTTGCTCAAACATCACTTGCTTATGCTGCATTTCCCTTTTTAAGGTCTAAAAAAAAAAAAATTAAAAAGAATGTTAAATGAAGTTAATAATTAATAATAATATATTTTAATATATATATACAGTGGATGGACAAAAATATGGAAACACCTTGTGAAATGAATGTTTGAAATGAAAGATTGATTTTAATGAAATATGTAGGTGGTGCTGGCGTTTTTGACTACTGACGCCACCTATACAACTTCGTAAGTGTGCTAAACGGTTCAGTTGTTGTCGGAGTACTGTTATGTGAGGTTGTCATTGCATTATGTCAGAGTTAACAGACTTCGAACGTGGGCAAATTGTTGGAGGACGTATGAAAGGTGCTTCCGTAAGCAAGGTAGTCGAGGTGTTTAGTGTTTCAAGAGGTACTGCATCGAAGATTTATTCCGCATATTTGAAAAGCGGAAAAACATCATCTCCTAAATCACAGCGCGGATGAAAGTGTGTGTCCTGAGTGATCGTGACAGACGATCATTAAGGGCAATTGTGATGAAAAATAAGAAGACCACAGCTGCTAAAGTTTACTGCTGAAATGAATGTTGTGTTACCGAACCCTGTGAGTACCAAAACAATTAGAAGGGAGCTTCATAAACAGGGAATTTCTGGCCGTGCTGCAATTGAGAAGCCACTCATCAGTAATGCTAATGCCCGTAACAGGAAAAGGTGGTGTTTAAGTCATAAAGCCTGGACTATAGAGCAGTGGAAGCGAGTAATATGGTCTGACGAGTCTTCTTTCACATTTTTTCCCACTTCTGGCCGAGTTTCGTCTGAAGAACGCCATCTCAAGCCTATAATACAGACTGCTTGTTGCCAAGAGTGAAACATGGTGGGGGTTCTGTTATGGTTTGGGCAGCCATATCGTGGTTCTCTGCTAGCCCCATGATAACTGTGTCAGGGCACATGACTGCCAAGACTTATGTGAACATTTTGGCCGATCAAGTTCATCCCATGGTACAAACTTTGTTCCCCGATGGTGATGGTGTCTTCCAAGACGACAAAGCTCCTGTTCACACAGCTCACATTGTCCAGGACTGGTTTTCTGCGCACGAGAATGAGTTTTCCCATCTCCCCTGGCCACCGCAGTCACCAGACCTGAATATTATCGAACTTTTGTGGTCTACATTGGAACGGAAAGTGCGTTCTCGTTATCCACCGCCAACATCGTTATCTGAACTTGCCACCGTTTTGCAGGAAGAATGGTATAATATTCCCTTTGGCAAACATACAGGAACTGTATTTATTCATTCCGAGAAGACTGCAAGCTGTTTTGGATGCCAACGGGTTTCCTACACCATATTAAGCAAAGAAACATGTTTTTTTAAAGGTGTTTCCATATTTTTGTCCAACCCCTGTATATTCATAACAAGGTTAGTTTCCTAATACAGCAATTACTTTTTAATTTCTATAAGAATTTTATGAAAGGCGGAAGTATTCAGATTGTTACATAATTACTGTATTGTACGACTAATTCACAAAATATTCATTTACAATAAAAATGTCATATAAAAGGAAAAACGAAATTAATTAAGGATGGAAAAACTTTCTTAAAGGAATATGATCATACACAATAAAATAGATATGAAAACAAGCTGAAAGTACAAAAATTATGATTCCTTCCCAAATGTAATACCGATCCTCTAGATCAGGGTTTCTTAAACTTTTTGGTATGGGGACTCCCTAATATTTATGAAAATTTTGTGGGACCCTCCATAAGTATTGCGCAAATCCGACACACGAGCAAGTGAAAATACCAGTTTCACCATTTCTATTATATATATATATATATATAAAATTCATCGAAATATTTTCGTTTTTTCTTTGTGTATACAGTCAAAAGTCTTTAATCCGGACTCGTCGGGACTTCGGCGATTCCGGATTATCGATTTTTTCCAGATTATAGATCATAAGTTTAAATCTGGTAAGATGGCATGTAGAAATTATAAAATTAAAAATATGAAACTGTAATTTATAAAATAATGAGCAATTATGATCTAAAGGGTATCAAAATTTACAAAAAAAGAAGCTTAATATTTATTTGTTTACTTTATTAAACATTTCTTTCAATGCACGCATGCGTAAAGCATACGTTACGCGCATAACCGAAATTAGAAAATTGCAACCAGAAAACTATTTGATTTGTATTCGTGATATTTATAATGACGAGGAATTTGATTTAAATCATATCAAAGACGGAGTACATCAAGATGAAATACAACATTTAGTAAGGAATTATAAGCCGTATAAAATAAAAACATCTGCCCTGAAGATACCGATAGTGCTAACAGATCAACTTCCAGTTCATTGCACGCCGCGACATCAGTTATATGTCACATCAGTTTCCCCTTATCAAAGTGGAAATAAGGATTTCAACAAATTCAGCTAAACATCCTTTATTGTAGCCATTGCTCTATACTACAATTGCAGTTACATACTATATTAAGTTTACTTGTATTATGTTAGTTATAATTACATGTGTGACAATGATGAGTATAAAGGAATTTTTATTTATCAAAGTACTTTTAAATGCGATGAAAATAAAATTAATAATTAATATATACACTATTGCATGGATAAATTTATCATCGCACTGCAGTATGTATTATAATGGAAGTACTTTTCATCAATGTAAAACAATTTGCACAACTCAAGTTCCATTAATTTGGTAAATTAAATTTATTGCTGGGAAGCATTTTCCTTAGTGAAGGCTAAAAATTAAAATCTGGGAGATTCGATAATCTAACCAGACTACATAATGAAAAACTGGGAGTCTCTCAGTACAGCTGGGAATGTTGGCAGCTATGTTCATGGATGCATGCCTGCTTTATAAGCATAAATCATATTCTGGGGAACTTTGGATATATTTCCCTGTAATTTTATCAATATGCTTGAGTTTTCTTTAATCATTCATATACTTAGTCAGCACTATTATAATAAATTTAAATAACTGATAAAATAAAATTTTGCTCAATGACTAGAAAATTTTAATAACCACTGCAGAGCTTACCAGTTTATCTACGCATGACAGCAGAGCTAGGTTAGTGGTTGCCTCTTTGAGTACATTAATATATAATTTCAATACAGTAAAAATGGGAAATTTCTTACTTTTAAACTTTCTTCCACTCTTGTTGAACTTTCAACATCAGATGGCATTTCATCATATGACACCAACTGTAATTCAACATTAGAAACAACCTGTGTAGCTTCCTCATACTGGCCTAGCGTCAGTTCTACAGCTTTCATTCTGAAATATTTAGCATGTATAATATTAAATAGTTTTACACATCAAAGATTTTAAATAAAACTATTAATTTTCAAAATGTTCAGACACAAAGGGAGGGGGGAATTGCTCCTGAAAAAGGGGGACCAGTATTTGATAGCTCTTGAAATTGCTTCTGAGAAGAATAGTAGGATGTAGCAAATTTTTTTTGCTCCTGAAGAAGAGAGACCTACCAGATTGCCCTTGAAATTGGTTAAGTTTTATCCAAAATCTGTACAAAACAAAAGCCACTTATTTGCCTAGTTTTAAAAGCAATATGCATACTTTAATTATTCTATTAAAATTATTTATATGAAAATATTGAGAAAGATTATTAATATGATAAAAACCAAAAGCCTTTGAAATGAAAAAGGAAAACAAAACAAAAAACAAAAAAAAACAAAAAAATGAAAATGTTTAAAATTATTAGGATTAAAAACTCTGATCTAATATTTCTTAATTTTATCAAGGAATTCAATGTGAAGGATAAAATTCTGGTCACGAAGGATAAATAATGTAACATGTAAAAACAGCCCAGACCATTATGGAACCACCATCAGCTTGAACAGTGCCTTGTTGACAACTTGGGTCTATGACTTCATGGGGTCTGCGCCACACTCGAACCCTACCATCAGCTCTTACCAACTGAAATCGTGACTCATCTGACCAAGCAACGGTTTTCCATTCGTTTAGGAACCAACCGATGTGCTCACAAGCCCACGAGAGTCGCTGCAGGCAATGTCGTGTTGTCAGTAAAGGCACTCGAGGCGGTCTTCTACTGGCACAGCCCAAGGAAGACAAATTTCGCCGCACTGTCCTATCGGACACGTCTCTCGTACGTCCCACATTGATTTCTGCGGTTATTTGACGCAGTGTTGCTTGTCTGTGAACATTGACAACTCTACGCAGACGTCGCTGGTCTTGATCGTTAAGTGCAGGTGGTTGGCCACTGCGCTGTCAATGGTGGGATGTTATGCCTGAAATTAGATACTCTCGGCACACTCTTGAAACTGTGGATCTAGGAATGTTGAATTCCCTAACGATATCCGAAATGGAATGACCCATGCATCTAGCTCCAACTACCATTCCGCGTTCAAAGTCTGTTAATTCTCGTCGTGCGGCCATAATCACGTCAAAGCCTCTTCACATGAATAACTTGAACACAAATGAAAGCCTCGCCAAAGCACTTCGCATTTATCCATTTTCTACACGATACTACTGCCATCTGTATATTTGCATATTGCTATCCCATGACTTTTGTCACTTCAGTGTAATATAGTATGTAATCCCAGATCCAACAAAATTTTTAGGGAAGCATTTAACAAATAACTGGATTACCAACTTTTGTTTTAAAAAATCTTGGCTACCTTGAGAAATTACTTCACATCACGTAACATGTCATTATGCCCCCCCCTCCAAAAAAAAAGTTGGTTTTCTAAGAAATATGTCATATATAATAAGATCTAAAGAACAGCATTACATGCAATATACCAGATATCACTGCGACATTATAATCTTATTATAATAAAAATAATAATTATAATAAAATATTTATATGAAAATGGAAATTGTTGTTGATCATAATGGACAGCACATTTTAGCTCTGTTAAAGTGATTTGCATTTTTGTATAAATAACTGCAGGAAATTCAAGATATTTTTCTTTTAAATAAGTAACAAATTAATGTAATCCAGAGTTCTTCAGATTCCTAACAAAATTCATACATATATTTTAGCTCCAACCAGAGATATTTTTAGTTTTACAAATTATGAGCATTCAGAATGATTTACAATAAAATAAAGCATTCAGAAGCAAACTTTGGTTCAAGTTAAATACCTACCTTTCAACATACAAATTGGAAACAGACCACAAGTTATTCCATGACTCCATAACTCCATCATACCGAGACTGCAAAGCGGGGGTTTTTGTAGTAAGTTCTCTAAAAGCTTCTCTCACTTCACAGATTCTAGGTTCAATTGTCTGTAAATCTGATTCAAAATCCTAAAATGAAATCAATGTAAATGAGCTATCTTAGAATATACATTGCAAAGAGATACAAACACAAATGGCACTAAATTACAAAATAAAGAAAGTGCATGGAGCAGATATCTACTCAGTATTTTCCTTTGATTAATATTTTTTGTTTCAACCTTTTTTTTAAATTTTACTTCTGTCATTAATTCCTCAGCTCTATGCATTTAATCCATCATTCTATAAAATTTTTAGAACTAATTAATAGCAGAATGTCTTAAAAATCACAAAAATGGGTATGTTTTTCAGATAAAAAAAAATTTGCATGTTATTTCAGAAAAAGCATGATTTTGTGTCAAAATACTTATGTTAGAAAACAATGCTATATATAAATCTAATATATATCCCAAATCATGCTTTCGAGACATGAAAAACGCAAGGTAAATTTTGACAAATGGTCCAGTAAAATGAGAAAAGAAACGAAAAAATGAAGCGCACATAAAATATGGCATTAAAAATAATTTTTTAATTTTTATTAATTACAACATTACAACAAACGTTCATAAAAATTATTGATTATATGCATGATAAATTAAATATGTTTTAAGTTTTGTCAAAAAGGCATTAATTTAAAAAATAAAGATTTAAATTGTTACAGAGTACATTTTATTAATTTCAAATCACTCAGGTTAATGTTCAGTAACAGGACTGAGTAAGTTTTAGAGCATAATTAAAGATCTCATATTCTGTCAACTGGCAATAGGCTCTTGAGAATTGACTATGATTGAGGTTACACGCAACATAAATTAAAAACCTTATATTTGTACACTACCAACATATTCAAGGCAAGTGGATGATAATTCACACTAGTGTAATGTAATGGAATAAACATAACAGTCCAAAAACTTTTGGAAAGGCACTATGAAAGATGTTTCTAATGTTGAGGTGCAAAAAAAGCAAGTTGTACTCACATCTGCAACAAGAATAATTCACATCAGTTAAACACTAAGCATTTTAGAGTTATTTGCTTCAAGAAAATGCTTTTTGGGAGGATTTTTAAGGGAAGTTGACTGTTGGTATTTATTATTTATTATTATTACATGTAAAAAAAATCTGATGTGTACACCACGACTTCATTGTATGGAATATTAAATTGAACGCATTTTTTCCTGCATTTCATTTAGCTTATTCCCTGAAATTTCATTATAGATATATTTCTTATTCAATTAATTCAGTTCTCAGTTTGCGGCAAAGTAAAAATAACATAAAACCTCAAAACACCTTTATTAAAAATAGAAAAATATAAAACACCCAATACAGTTAAAACAACATTTTTTTTTTTTTTTTTACAATTAAAGTTAGTTTGTGTTTTACACAAAAACAAGGAATTCAGCCAGCGAGCAAGAAGGCAAATTTTTTTATGAACAAAACTGAAAGTTTACTTTTGGTCCCACTTAGCAACAAAACATTGAAGGTGCAGAAACTGACTGAATTCACTATTCTGCTATTTTAAATGTAAACAAATATGGCTGTTATGGTAAAAAAATTAGGCCACTAAAGCTTAGCCACACTAAAACAACTTTTATATTGTTAATAATTCTACAACTATTGCATGCAGATTAACTAAAGGCATAAAAACAATCAAAAGATAAGAACAACATAATTCAATCGTTTTTAAAGCACACATCACAATTTACCAACATATAAGAGTAAAAAACTGAGCTCACAGAGCCGAATAACAGAGTGGGTATATATATACTTTTTGGTTCAACCGATTGGAACCAAAAAGGGAAGTGCACAACTACATGTTATAGCAGTTCTATGTACAATATTGCAATGTTCTGAGGCTACTTGTTTTTGAGTTATACAAGATACATATATACATACAGAAGTCACCAAAAAATCTCTTTTGAATCCATTTTAAATCTTTTTTGCAACCTCTTTTAGGAAAAAGAGTTATTTTTTCCTTATGTATATATGACACGCAAAAACAACATTAAATTGCATTCGATGGCAGTCAAAATGGATATTTTCGGTGAAATATAATACCTGAAAATTTTCGATATTATAGTACTTCTTTTACTTCATACAAGGAAGTAAAAAAGCATTGAAAATTTATGTAACTGGCCTATTTAGTCAACAAGCACCAAACATTGAATGAACTGCAATGCTCAGTAATTTTAGTCACAATGAGGTTTTATGGGTAACATGGAATTATCCATCAAAGAAACTGACAGACTCAAGGGTTAATGAAAGAAAACATCTGCGCTTTAATTATATTATTGCATCACAGAAAGACACACCTTGCAAATTTAAGTAGAATTAGAGATGAAAATTTATGGAGGAAACTACAGATAAACAATGTTCAATTTATCTGTATGAAAAGAAAAATTTTACAACAATCTATGAATGACAAATTGTAACCATCAAAATAACACTGAGTTATTATTTCCTTAAAAATCACAGTAAACCAACATCTTACATAATTCTGATTAGGATTACAGTAATCATTACAGCAGTAAAAAGTGCGATAATTACTTTTTGTTCTTGCATAAGCTGGCCCACTATTTCTTTGCTGCGAGGTATAGGAGCTTGCGTGCGTTGTTTCAAGGTTCTTTCCTTTTCGGTTAAAGTGCTTTGTACGGATGCCACTAAATCATTGAATTTACGAGCTTGACTTTTGTTAATTCGATCCACTAATTTCAGAAAGAAAATTTAAAAATGTGAAAATAAAAAATTTCAAATATATGAATATTTCAGGTATATTAGTATTCAGGTATATTTAAAATAACAATTTTGCTAAATTTTATTAACAGTCTAAAGTTACTGACCTTCATCCTGATCTAGCATGCGCTGTAGATCAGCGAACAGCTTATTACAATAAGCAATTTCCTCTTGCAGTCGTTTCAATGCAGGGTCATCACTTGATCCTTCATTCAGAAGCTTCTGAGTGTCTTCATTTAAAGCTTTTATGATGCTTTCCCTCTGAATTGGTTCAATGCTGCGGAACTAAAAATTGAAAAGAATAAATTGGTGACTTGCAATATAATAAAAAGTAAAAATTTTTAATTATGCGATCTGTTTTTATTGCATACAGAATCTAAGAAAAATCAAAATTAAAAATTATTATGAAGTTACTTTTTATCATTTAGTAGTTTTCATTATTTATTAACTGGTGTTTGTTAACATAATATCAATTGATATTCCCTGAAATAAAAATCTGATTTGGAAGCAGAAATTTTGATAAGCTTGATAAATTTTGATAAGTGCAAAAGAAATTACCTTAGTTATATCCCATGATTTAATGATTTTTATCGTAGCAAAGATCATGTTTTGTCTCAGTTTACGTTGTTTAGATGTCCACAGATTCACAATTGTTTCAAATTGCCTTTTCAAACTGCAATATATATAAAATAGTGAATTTAAATGAAATTCAAAAATTAAGAAAATTATACTATTCTTATATAATATATAAAGAAAATGATTGATATAATTTAAAATGCACCATGAAATAGAATAAACTTGCCTTTCAGCAAGCTCAAGAGCTTCAGGATTAGGAGGTGGTATAACAAAGCACACGCCAGGAACCATGCCTTCAACTCCATGAGCATTTATTATCTAAAAAGATAACATGGCATTATAATATAATACTAATAACTAAAAATGAAACATAACTAATTTTTTAAAAAGGAAGACAAAAAGAAGAGGATACTTGTAAATCAAAAATTAACCTGCAGAACTTTAAAAAAAAAATTAGGAAAATACACTTTAAAAAAAAGGAACACATTTTATAAATATAATAAATTCTCTCTTTAATTTCTGCATTTAAGTAATATTTAAAAAAATGTCTTGTCTTGTTGGCACTATTTCTTCTTATGATATCTTTTTTTCAATATCTTTCTGGTCATAAGAACTATTTCCTATTGCTCTGCTTTACATATACAGTCAAAAGTCGTTAATCCGGACTCCTCGGGACTTCGGCGATTCCGGATTATTGATTTTTCCGGATTATAGATCATCAGTTTAAATCTGGTAAGATGGCATGAAGAAATTACAAAATTAAAAATATGAAACCGTAATTTATGAAATAAAGAACAATTATGATCTAAAGGGTATCAAAATTTACAAAAAGAAAAAGCTTATATATATTTTGTTTACTTTATTAAACTTTCTTTCAATGTAAGTTGCTTCGTTTCATGTGATAATACTTTCTCTTTAATTCTATTTAAACAGACATAATTTCTTGTTTAGTTACAAAGTTCCGCTGTTCAAGTCCTATAATTGCTGTGTTGAGAATACCGACTAATTTGTCAATCGAAATGTTTTCGTTTTCAATAACCTCTGGGTCACTTTCTTCACTATCGGAAGCGAATTATAATGGCGAGGAACTTGATATTCAAATCATATCAAACGACGGAGTACATCGAGATGAAATACTACACTTAGTACGGAATTATAAACCAAATAAAATAAAACAATCTGCCCTGAAGATAAGGATAGTGCTGACAGATTAACTTCCAATCCGCTGCGTGAAATTGATAAACAGATTTCGGATTTCAAAACACTTTCGCTTTGTAGATACAAATTACCATATTTAGTAAATATATCGGAAATTCTATTTGACATAATCTTTCTAATCTATCATAATCTAATAATGACGTTTTCTGCCCCCCCCCTCTGCCGCAGAGCAGCGTGAAATTGATAAACAGATTTCCGATTTCAAAACATACTTTCGCTTTGTAGTAAATATATATCGGAAATTCTATTTGACATAATCGAAAGTTCAAGCTTACTTTTATGAAATTGCTCTAACAGTCTGCAAAAAATAATAAGCCGGATCCAATTCGAAGATTAAGGAACAACGCAATCTGCACCATTAACTGAATTAGATAACTTTAGCTTAGCGTATAACTCCGTTACACATTAAGCGAGCACGCGCACAAATATATTCGCAGCCGTAAGGGTCTTACGTACTCTCGTAAACGCCTGTGTGCATGCGTGAAAGCGACGCATGCGCAGAAAGTTTGTAGCTTTGAGGTCCGGATTATAGATCATTCCAGATTATGGGTGTCCGAATTAACGACTTTTGACTGTACATGATTTCCAAAGCAATAAGAAAATTTAAATGGAACTTAAACAATATTTTATTATTCATGAATTAAGTTCATAAGCAAACACAAAAGTTTGGAGCTTTTATTAAAAATAAAACAAATGGATCACAAAAAAGAAAACATTTTGTTGCAAAAATACTTTGTGGCATTTTGTTTAATCTTACTTTGTACAATAACAACTAGATTATTATTTTAACAAAATTAAAGTGTAATAATTTTTCATTCTTGCACATAAAAAAAGCCATGAAATATGGAAAAAAAAGAGAAGCAACAATTTATTTCTCAATTTTTTTTACCTTTCATTTTCCTCTTTATTTAATATAAAAATTTGGTAAATTATACAATAATAATTCATCAATAACAAGAACCAAAGAGTTTGTTAAAGAAGAACTGTAAATTCAGTTTTTAAAGTTAGGTTATTAAGGTAAGGCTATTGTCAGTACAAGCTTCTGCATATCATTGAATTAAATTTTTCCTCAGAATCGCTAAACATTTGCTCAAAGGCAATTGGTTAGGAATATCTGAACCAGAAGGTCATTCAACAGTCTAATTATTAAACATACTGCTTAGAATGCACAACAGATATACCTATATAGATAGCACCTATAGACCAATAGCTCTAAGAAGAGAGAAGAAGGCATACACAAACAATAAAGCCTTCTTCTGGAGTAGATCCATAACACTTGGTTTTGGGGGTAACAGTCAGCATCTACTAATTACTAAATCATTCAGGATCACTCATTTAGTTCATGAGAATAACTTGTTGAACTAAATAAACAGTGCAGTATCAGTACTACTAAAAATTGAGGAAATAAATTTAAGCCAGGAAAGATTTTTAAGATAAATAATAATATATTTTTAATTAAAAACAGTTCTAACTAATAAAGGATAAAAAACCTCGAGACAGAGATAATATTTTAAAACCACGTAAACAAAAAATTTATATTACACAGGCAATTGCCCACATTAAGTTAGAAATGGAATGCATTACATATACATATATTATAATTTAAACCTACCTTCCATTTAGTTTTATTTGAATTGTCATGAAGCCAGCACTGTTCATCTTTATTTACAGACATCTGAAAAATTTAAAACTTGCATGCTATGAAACTAAAATATTAAAACTTGCAGAAATAAAATACTGAAAAATAATTTTGAACTGCTCACTGTTCATCTTCATTTACAGACATCTGAAAAATTTAAAACTTGCATGCTATGAAACTAAAACATTAAAACTTGCAGAAATAAAATACTGAAAAATAATTTTGAACTGCTAAAATATGGTAGGCAATTTCAATACTTTCAATCATGCACAACTACATACATAATTTCACAGTCATTCAACTATATTTTCAAAATACACTATCATGTGCTTATGCTTAGATTGGAATTTTTTTTGCACAGTAGTTAAATTTAATCGTGCGCATACTAGAATACTCAGTTATGTACTGGTTTGTTAGCTTTTAATTAAATTATTTAATTAAATGTTTCTTATTAGTAATCAGATACAAATATAAGCATACAAATCAAATTATTTTTGCAGAGTAAATCTGACATTAAACATAATATTCTTTACATAATAAATGTAATGGGGATTTATATCTTAATAGCAAATAATAAAATAAGTTATATATACTCAAAATAATTTTAATTAGGAAATAGGTAGCTAATCAAAACTGCTTCGCTATCAGTTAGAAATAAATAAATTTCATTATTACGAATAGCTGATATATGACAAATGATTTCCTATAGAAAACTGACTGTCAACTGCGAGAAACATGTCTAATTTTGAAAGCTATTTTATGTAAATATCCACATGTGTAAATGTAAATTAAATAATGTTTCATCTATTTCAGTGGCTGAATAAACTAAGCATGAATCAAGCATTTTCTATCAATCACAAAGGTGGTCATAGTTTCAAATATTAATAAATCTAAAGAACTTCAACCAGGTCTTACAGGTTTGGACAGAGTATTAAATCTAAATGCATTCATAAAATGGAGAAACGTTAACAAAGTTCTAATCCCCAAGTTAAAAATTAAAGTAAAGGCAGCTTACAGACTGTTGCTTATATGAACATATAGCAGTAACTCTGAGAGGTCTTGGAAGAGGTTGACGTCTTTGTTTCAGTGGAGCTATATCTTTGCTTCTTTCAATTAATGAAGATACAACATTGCTATAGTGGCTCAACTCATCCCTTAGTTCTTGCATTTCTTTCATTAAGCGTTCACCTTCATCAATGGAAAAATTCTGACGACTATAAGTAGTAGATAGACGATTTTCAATTTGTTTCAACCATTGTTGGCACTCTTTAGCTTCATTAAAAAACTACAAATAAACAACACGCAGCTATATTTATGGGAATACATTGTAAACAATACACATCGATATATATAATATAGGACAATCTTTAAACAATTGTGAGATAATAAAAAAATTATGCCATAACATTTTTATCTCAGAGTTAAAAATCAATTATATGTCTATTTTCCTAACAGATACACGTATGATTTTTTTTTTCCTTGCATCAAAGATTATTTATATTAACTCTGGGTTAAGCAGACATTTATTTCTAATCGTTGATGAACACGATTAATACTCTATCTTCTGATTTATTATCAAATATCCATCTTAGCCCTCTTACAATAGGAGATAATTAAATCTGAAATGCAATGTTTCAACAAGCATTACTTTGCATATAAAGTATACTCACAAAAGCTGGCAAATGTTGCAAAGAATAAAATGGAAATTTGAAATCATATGAAACATATTAAACTAGAGCACTTTAAAATAAATACATATTTTAAATATACTTTAAAATACGCACTGTTCAAGTGCTTCTACAGTTTGAGAAATGCCAAGATATACAGCAATGTATAATTATGCAAGAAAATACTTACCTGATGATAAATATAAGCATATTTCAAATGAACTTCAAGGCAAGACATTAGTTGCAAGAGCCAAGACCATTGTGTCTGCATTGCAGCTAAATAAGCCTGTAAAATAAAGTGTAGATTGAAAAACCCATTGTGGTATTCCAGGGACACAAATAAATAAATTATTCAACATAAAATAATGACAGTCAGAATAAAGCACATAAATAAATAAAAACTAAAATTTTCTAAAATTTTTCTTATTCTTAAAAATGCAAATGATATGCTTTTTTTATTTGAGAGACCGTAAAAAATTGCAGCGAAAATATATGTGCAAAAGTGCCAAATCTAGCAAACTCGCTCATTTAACAGCGTGCCAAATTTATCGAACGTGCCGAAGTGCATAAATTTGGATAGTTCTATATTTATAAGTCGCCATGGAAATACTAGTTTAACTTTTAATTCTTTTCGAATACTGCTATGGGTTTAACATTTTGGGAATTACCCATTGACGGAGAGTGTGCGATAGAATTTTTTCAAAGAGCAGGCATCATTCCTGATAGAAAATTATGTTCAAACAACCACGAGATGATATTATGCTTTAGCGTAACTCAGTAGCAAAATGGCAGTGCAGGATAGAAACCTGTGAGAAAGGTTCAAGTCAAAATTGGTTCAAATGATCGAAAATCTCCTTCCTTACAATCCACATGTGTAAATGTAAATTAAATAATGTTTCGTTTGATCATCTATTTTTAGTGTCAGGAGATGATATCTATTGAACTTTGTGAACTCCAGCTGATGATGAACCACAACACAACTGTAGACTGGAATAGTTTAATGCGTGAAGTGTGTGCCGCAACTTTTACTCAGTCTAACTTGAAAATCGGCAGATGGGGCAAAATTATTGAAGTAGACGAAAGCCTTTTCAGTAAAAAAAGGAATAACGTTGGCTGGGTTCTTCTCCCACAATGTATTTTCGGCAGATTATGCAGAGGATTCTTTTTAATCACTGTTCCAGAATAATCGGCGAAAACTTTATTGAACATCATAAAAGAAAATATCGCAAAAGGAAGCATTATTCATATTGACTGCTGGAAATCATACAAGTTGGATGAATGCAAAATACCGATTTTTTAACATTTTACTGTCAATCACAACTACAATTTTGTGGACCCCGAAAGTGAGTGCCATACACAAACAGTAGAGCGGCTGTGGGACGGTGCTCCACAGCATTTCGATTATTATTTGTCCGAATTTTATGTATACATGCTTGCACAAAAAAACTGAAATATTCTAAATCTAAATGAAAATCTAAACTAAAACAATAATCTTAGATAGTTATTTACTATTATGTTTCCTTTCTTGCCTTTAGGGTTACCGTAATTATTTTTGGTAGCATTGGCATCAACAGTAGTTTGGCGATTTTTTATGGCCCTTATAATGGAATTGTACCCTTTAGTACCACCACTACATTTTACAATGATTATTTTTTAATTTCTCAATAGAAATATTAAAACAAAATATATTTTGCGATTCGCGAAACCTATTGTCTCTATTAAATGTGCACACATAAATATATAATAAATGAAAAATTGGTTACTATTTTAATTATCAAAATTTAAGTTATAATAGTTTAATTCTACAATTTAATATGAAATTTGGACCTGTTTAAGAGATATCAATTTCTTTCTGTCTGGTCTTATTTCACTTAACCATAAATTAGGATCCAGTTTTAATTTTGCTCAGTACTTTTTTTTCAAATAAAACATGGAAGAAAATGCTTATTCATACATATAGGTTCTGGCAATAAAAATTTAATAGCATAATTAAAAAGGCAATAAAATTTAATAGCTTTATTTGAAATACCTTTAAATTCTTTTTTCAGTCGAAAGCTAACAAGTGTGTTATTTTTGAAATCTTCAGTTAGAGTTCGATCACAAGAAATTTCTATCAATTTTTCTTTTTCTTTATGAGATTTTTGAATTTTTGAATTAAAAATAATTTGTTTCTTTGCTTACCACCAGCTGAGAATCGCTGGTTTACAGTAATGTTGAATTTAGCGTATTGAACACTGAGCAAAATTTGTTATCAGCTGCAATTACAGCTACAACTTGATACAAAAATCATCCTGTATGTGCAAGTTTATAAAATACAGTTTATTTTGTTTGCATAACAGCTGTAAATAGCATGTATAAAAATGCTGTTACCTTTAGTATTTGTCAAAAAAATCATCTAAGCACTAAGGAATTGCAAATAAAACGACAAGGGTTATAATTGCAAATAAAACGACAAGGGTTATCATGTATTATGCTGAAGAAAATTCAACTTTATATATGCATTTCTTGCTTCAGTAGGAGCCATCAAATGAAATGAGCTGCTTAGTTAAGTACATCTGGGAGGGGGTATCATATATGTGTATTCTTAAGAAACTTCATTTTTTTAAATTTTGGTTTATTTGGTTATGGCAAAGCATGCGTGGTCATAGGGGAGGGATATCTTCATAGAGGTCTTTCTAAGAGAAACTGGCTTGTATCTATCTGCATTACACATGGAGAAAACCATAAGAACATCCAAGCAGTCAGCCCATTGAATCCAGGTCAAACTACCAGTATTTAGTGACTTTACCACTCAGCCGCTGGTGGGCAAATGATACACAAGACATAATTTTTAAATTAAAAACTGTTCCCTTCCCTCCCACAGGGAGAGGATGGAAAACAGCTAATTTTTCATTCTGCATACTGGAAGAATAACTGAGCATATCTACACAACAGTTATCTTCCATCTAACAAAACTTTTCATCTCTCAATGAAATTTTCAATTACAAACTTATATTTCTTATGTAATGTTATGAACTGTATTAATATCACTTTAAAGCTTCTACCAGAATTGAAAAAAAAAGTTATTACATTAAATATTAATATCTGGTTCAAAGAATGAAATTAAAATTACTTAGTAATAAAAATTCTCAGTCTTATATACATACACTTTCAGTCCTTATAAGCTTACCTCAATACATTTGGATGCAGGATGCTTTTGCAGAACAAGACTTTCTCCCCTATCTTGAACAGCATTAAAATGTACTTCACGTTTTTCTAGCTCTATTGTTAAGGCCTAAAAGTTTAAAAAAAAAAGGATTTAAATAACTGCATAAATTTTTTATGCATAACTAACACAAAATGTTAGGTTATTAAAATAAAGTTTCATAAGCTTTTCCATAAAAAGATTGTACATTCTGGAATTTCATTGCATTGAAAAACAGTCCCTTTAAAATACAGCTATTGAAATTTTCGTACAAAATATGTAAAATTATATTAAAATCTCCCATTGTCACTGCTGTTTGAGGCAACTAGTTCTGAAATTGATCAGTATTTATGTAAGTATAATTATATAACAGAACTAGCAGAACTGAATTTCATGTTGTCTATAGCAACTTCCATAACAAAAACCTCTGGAATTATGAGAGCTTAACTCTTATCTGGCTTCATATTAATAAAATATTAATAAAATTATGACTTTTGTACATTATTCAACAATTATTAATATAAAAATTAGTACAAAACTGCCAATTTTAATAGTATTTTTATGATATGTTAACATATTATCTGACCAAATGATCCTGATAAGCAAGAGATACTTGAAACTAGAAGTACATATTATAAAAATTTTAAAAAATATATTCTGAAAGTAAGTGTGACATTTTCATATAATAATTTTTATGATATGTTAACATATTATCTGACCAAATGATCCTGATAAGCAAGAGATACTTTGAAAACTAGAAGTACATATTATAAAAATTTTAAAAAATTATATTCTGAAAGTAAGTGTGACATTTTCATATATAATTTTAAAATAAATTGCATATATATATATATATATATATATATATATATATATAATTTTAAGGACAGCTACTATGGAGGATAAATAGATTTGTTTATTACTAATGCATATTTTAAACTATATGCACAAATTAAATCTGCATTTATATGTTGACTGTTAATTTAAAGATTGTAAATGTCTTGGATATATTAAATTATTAAAAGCAGATTTATTTATAGTCAAAATGTCTAAATAAAAAATATAAAATAATAAATTTAAAATTTTTTATTAGTAGTTTTTTTCATTTAGATCATTTCTTGTTAATTAATGATAAATGATAATCACTGACTAATATATCAGTTCATCTTCACAAATTAAAAATGCCATAATTATTAACCTTTCCATAATGAAGCATAATATATATGGTTAGAATACAAATTTTAAATTTATATTTTCATAATATTCACTGCACTGAACTTACTTTCTGATATTCTTCTATTTCAGAAATATTTAAAGATTTAGCACTCCAGTCTCTAGATACTTCTATTTCTTCTTTTTCATTCATCCATATGAGTTCATTTGTTGCAGACTGGATGAAATCCAGAAGAGTATCAAGGTCACTCATTCTTTTGTTAGACATAACCTGTAAATAGATAACATTTGATGTGTTTGTGCAAATTTCTTAAAATTTCAATAAATTAATGAAATTTCAATAGAGACAACTTACATACAATAGTTATATATTTTCCACTAGAAACTTCAGTAATAAACATATTCAAACTCAAAATGTATTTTAGAAAAAATATAATGCAGTTTGACTTGCATTAAATGTTGTGAACTATCATACATACATATATTACCCAAGTTATCTGTTACTGCAATCAGAATTTATTTACTTACATAGTAAACTTACAGTAGACTTCATAAAAATGTTTGTTATATGATATCTACTAAGAAAAAGTATTCATGGTAAAGGGAAAGGAGCAGCTTCAATTGACCAAAAGGCCTGGAGCACCAGAGGGAAAAGACTGACTGAGTTCCAGGTGCCTGTTTTAGCTGGACATAATGGAATTGCATTCATGTCTAGTGTGGCCCTACCAAGAGAGAAATTCCCAATGTACTTCAACCGTTCTGTCCAGGGACACCCTTCCACCACTTTGAGGTAACAATCGGGACTTGAAGGCGCTTCATGAATGGCTATATTACAGCCCTCACATTTCATTAGGAACAGAAGATCTTCCCCGAGTTCCATTAGTGTAAGGCTGACGTGGTCACCCCAAGGAATATTTTAGCTTGCTTGGATTTTAACAAAGATCGTTTTGTTTTCAAACTTTTTAGATATTTTCAGATTTATGGAGATTGTCTAGCTTTGCTGGAGAATCTGGAATTAGTAATAACAACAACTACAAAAAAATATGCAAGTTTACTAGTCATAGGTATACCAATGGAAAAACAATTTTACTCAGGAGTGAATTGCTCTTTGAGTGAACACAATAAAAGTCCAAACTGATTCCCTAATACTTTTATCAGCTACCTGAAACACCTCATCAGAAAAAGATTAACAAAACACAAATTAATAATAACAATTAACTTAACCAGTCCTAGATAAACAACATATGTGTACCTTAAGCATCCCATTTCAGTCAAAATATAAATTTGGCATTTTTGCTAGTATTAAAAATTTATACTTTTCCTTTTATTATTCACCAAATGGGTAGTGTCATCTTTTTTGATGAATATCGGCTTTCGAAGTGCTTAGAGATGGTTTTTTACTCTACGATCTCTCGCATTTAACATTGTTGTATACAACTCATTTCTCCCATGACTTCGCACAAACGGCAATGCAACGGCTCAAATTTCTTTTCGTAAGAAAATGATGAACCCATTTGTCGAGCTTTGAAATTAAACCTAGGCATTTCAAATTATAATGAATGGTCACATTCGATAAATTTAATCTCTCAGAGATCTCACTAGTTGTTATTCACCAGTTTGCATCAGTTAATGCCTTTATTGTGTCTTCATAAGTTTTAACTGGCCTTCCAGAACATGGTGCATCTTCAAGATCAAAATTGCCACATTGAAATTTTGCAAACCAGTTTTGGAACTGGTCTTCTGTCAATGCATCTTCTCCATATACATCGGATATTTTTTTTTTCTTTGTTTGAACAACATTATAAACTTTTTGATAGTAAAAAAGTAAAATATGAAAATGCTGCTTTTTACTTTCTATATTTGAAAGGGCACCAACACCCCCCCCCCAAAAAAAAACTACTGTGTACAATCAATTGAACATTTTCAGAAGCAAGCCTTGCTATATTAGCTGTCAAAATATATAATGATTATGCGGCTTAAGTGTGAAATTTCTGTGTAAAAATACACTTAAGCACTATGTTAGGAAAAAATTAAATTACTTCCCGAATAATCCAATAAAATAATAATGCAGTTTTTTGAAGGGTACTGAATTCTGTGTGTCTGTAAATTTTATAGCATTGCCTCAAACTTTTATGCTAAAAAGAAAAAAAATAATAATAAAACTTTGATATTCATCAAGTTTCATATGCCATTTAGTATTGAAATATATATTGGAAGATAAAACGCTAATGGATTATAATTTCAAAAAATTACATCTATTACTGTACAAATTACTATACAAATGCTTTAAGAACCTCAAGCAGAAAGCAAAATTATACATCCATATATTTTGATCCTAATATTTACAAAACATGTTACTTTCATGACTGATGATTAAATAACCATAAACATGTATAGAGACTATTAATTAAGAAGTCAAAAAAAAAATCATCAGCATTATATTTTTAAATTTTACTGTCTAACTTCAAACAGTAAAATTTAAAATATAATGCTGATGATTTTTGTTGTTTGACTTCTAAATTAATACTTGTTTGGCATGTTATTTTATCTTATGTATATAGACATTTAATCCAATCATGCATTTCTCTAATTAATTAAATTTTTCATAAGGATAACAAATTTAAAAATAAAACTTACCAGGACTTCAGAATAACCTTTTTCTAGTCTTGATAATAATTTGCAGTAAAGCTCCAATTCTTCACCTTTAAACTGAGTCTGAAAAGCATTTTAATTTATATAGCATAAAAACGTGGTAAAATAACATTTTCAGTAAAAAAAAAGTCATTAAATTTAATTGTGCTTTTGATTAATTTTTCATTGCTCCAGCTTTAGAGTATAAACACTGATGCATCCAAATATAAATAACACTTCATACTCATACACAAAAATAATGAAAATTTATGTTTATTAATCCACTATTTAAAATAACTGCATTTAGTGGACGCTCCAGATTTACAATACAACATATGCGAGGAACTATTTCAAATTCCTACCCATTGTACTTTTTTATTATTAAAAAAGATTTTAAAAATCAATTTATAAAATATTCAAAAGAAACTTAAATAATGGGTTGAAAATCATTTCCTGAATTTTGTACTTCTGTTCCGCTACAGACTTCTTAACTTTCTTCTTTCTTATTTATTACACTGTTTCCTTAACTATTCATATTTTATAAAGCTAATTTTTCGTAAACTTAGACTATAAACTTCATCCTCCTACTATTTAGTGAGAATCATATTATTAACTTAATAGGTTAATAATAAAACATATTTTTTTTACCAAAAACACACTACTTTCAAAAAATTAAATTTTACAAAACATTCTCAGCTACCCTAAAGTTGAGAATTTTGTGCTAAAAATGAGGGAAAGACTTTTTCACGTAGGTTGTAAAACATTATTAACAAATTTATTTAATAAACAAATAACTCATAAAATTAAATGAAAATGCAGAATAAAATTTATTTTAAATGTAATCTGGGTATAAAAAAAATTCTTTTTAATATTTTTAATTTCATTAGCATCCTTTTTCGAAAAATCCCCATAAAATTTGAATCCATAAGCAAAGTGTCGACTTTTTTAATATATTATCAACTTTTTTATTTCTAAGACTGTTTAAAAAATGCTTATTTTTATAAAGCAGATAAGATCACTCTTGAAAATCTACCTAAACGGAATACAGTGATTACAAGGATTTAAAAATGAAATGCCACGGACTTTAAGAGTTAAAAAAATTATTATAGCACAAAATGGTTTATTCAACTAAGATTTAATACAACTCCTTTCAACCAATATATAGCTTTTTCTTTGTATATTTAATATTTCAACATTTAGCTTACTCTTTGTGACGAACATTGATCCACATTCTTCTGAAACTGGTCAATGAGCCGATGCTCTGTATGATGCTGTTCTAACAAAGACTGAACACTGGGTAAATCAGTACCATAGTCGGCTTCTTCTAGGTATTTCTAAAATAAAGCAGAATTAAAATGTTTTATTAATATCAATCTAACTAGAAATTGATAAATGACACATTTATCGAATTTCTCAATTTAACAAAAAAAAAAATCATCTTACCAATTTTTTATGCACCCAATCTATGCATTCTTGAAGAAATTTAAAAGCTTTATTTGTTTCAATTAATTTTTCTAATGACAGAGGGCGAGGTTTTGACACTTTCTTTTCTTCAGTCTTCAATGATCTTGTGGCAAGGACATTCAGCAATCGCGTCTGAAAGTTCAGCCGTATATTTAAAAACCTTTCGTGAAGTTGCTGGACTCTATAAAACAGGAAATATAAATAAATAATTTATGTTCAGATATTTTTTTTTCTATTGCAGGTAATAGTTTTCTTCTTAAAAAACATTATGTTAGTAAATTATATGAATACATACACCAAAAGAAAATTTTTTAAAGTAAGAGCAATGGTGGGGTACTAGATGATATCTAGCTTTATTACAGCATAAAGAGAAATTCATTTCATTCTTTTGCAATGCATTTCCTATGTTATACAGTCAAAAGTCTTTAATCCGGACTCGTCGAGACTTCGGCGATTCCGGTTTATCGATTTTTCCGGATTATAGATCATCAGTTTAAATCTGGTAAGATGGCATGCAGAAGTTATAAAATTAAAAACATGAAACCGTAATTTATAAAATAATGAGCAATTATGATCTAAAAGGGTATAAAAATTTACCAAAAAAGAAGCCTAATATTTATTTGTTTACTTTATTAAACACTTCTTTCAACGTGCGGATGCATAAAGCATACCTTACGCATAGCCGAAATTAGAAAATTGCAACCAGAAAACTATTTGATTTGTATTCATGATATTTATAATGACGAGGAATTTGATTTAAATCATATCAAAGACGGAGTACATCGAAATTAAATACTACATTTAGTAAGGAATTATAAGCCGAATAAAATAAAAACATCTGCCCTGAAGATAACAATAATGTTGACAAATCAACTTCCAGTTCATTTGGAAGGGAAAGGGTTCAACAAACTTGGCAACTATGTTCAAAAATAGGGGAAACGTATGTAGAATCTGAAAATAAATTTGGTTGTGGAAAATTTTGTTTTGTTTAGTTTTTATTTTCAAACGGCCCTTACTTAAAAAACACCCCTCGTACATAACAATCAGCCATTCCCAAATAAATAACCTCGTCAGCAAGCTCGCATAGTGGATATGCGCATACCGGATTATCGGGGGTTCGAACAATTAAAAGCGAAATTATCGGCCTTTTATTGCACTTGCTTTTATTGCCTATTGACTATTTTAGATCTAAAATAACTAATAAAGACGTAATGATCACTGTTCTTAAAAACTTTCATTCACATCTCCTCCCCCCAAAACGCAAGATACTAGTTATCTCTATTCTGCATCATTAATTAAATGCCACGAACTCATATATAGAAGAAATTTCAGTCTTGATTTTCAGCACTCGGTTTCACTTATACAGATATACGGCATCTCAATAAACAGAAATCATATTTTATAAATATGAATAATTTTCACTGGGAAATAATAAATTTTGACATTATTAAAAATACAAAATACTCCAGCCAGTATTGGATTTGTTTGAAGAAATTGCTGGGAGAGAATATTTTAAATAAATTTAAAGAGAAATAAATTTAAAAAGCGATTTTTTAAAGTTAACTACAGAAAAATCAAAATTTTATACAGTTCCATTATTACTAGATTCAAAATTTATAAAACTGTTCACTTTTCAAAGTAGAATTCCTTTCTTTCATTTAAATAGTTCAGATAAAATATCAGATTATTCAAAAGAATTCAAAATTCAAGTAAAACGCAAAAGAAATTATATTCACAGGTTTTCCTCTCTCCTGTATTCATACGCCTTCACCTACATATTTATAATGTTTATGATATTATTAGATTATACTATTATGATACAGTCAAAAGTCGTTAATCCGGACTCGTCGGGACTTCGGCGATTCCGGATTATCGATTTTTCCGGATTATAGATCATCAGTTTAAATCTGGTAAGATGACATGCAGAAATTACAAAATTAAAAATATGAAACCGTAATTTATGAAATGAAGAACAATTATGATCTAAAGGGTATCAAAATTTACAAAAAAAAAAAAAAAAAAAAGCTTAATATTTATTTGTTTACTTTATTAAACATTTCTTTTAATGTAAGTTGTTTAAGTTGCTTCGTTTTATGTGATAAAATACTTTCTCTTTAATTCTATAAACAGACATAATTTCTTGTTCAGTTACAAAGTTCCGCCGTTCAAGTCCCGTTAATTGCCGTGCCGAGAATACCGACTAACTTGTCAATCGAAATTTTTTTCGTCTTCACTAACCTCTCTGTCACATTCTTCATGTCTTTATCCTTTTTTGCAGCAATTCCACTTTTTTTGTTTGATGGACATCGAAACATACTTTCGTTTTGTACGATCCTTCGGGAGCTCCAGATTCGGAAATTCTATTTGACATAATCGAAAGTTCAAGTTTACTTTTATAGTATTGCTCATACAGTCTGCAAAAAATAATAAGCCGGATCCAATTCGAAAATTAAAGAACAACGCAATCATCAACATTAACTGAAATAGATAATTAGATAATTTTAGCTTATACTGTTCGTTATACATAAAATGCGCACACACAAATGCGCAGTCCACTTTTTGTTTGTAAGAGGTCTTACGTGCACGCGTAAATGCCTATGCGCATGTGTCAACGCGGCGCATGCGCAGAAAGTTTTTAGCTTTGAGGTCCGGATTATGGGTGTCCGAATTAACGACTTTTGACTGTATAAGCATTTCATATTCAAGTTGATAATGAATAAGATGACTATTTTATGATTTTAGATTAGAATTTTTCCCCCATTTATTTGGTTTTCCTACAGTGTTTTCCACATTTTTTAAATGCAAAATTATCTGCAATTTTCATTTATTTGGGATTCAGCGTTTCCCCGAGATTTCTGAATAGTCGAGCATTTACTGTTGCTCTAAACATTTCAAGTTTTTTAAGTCTATAACTGCTTTGTTTATGTTGAATATAAAAACTTACCTTTTCTGGAGTTCCAGAGCTTGGTGATAACGACCATCCCTGAGTGTCTGTACATCTCTTGACATTGACTTAAGACTTTCTTCAACATGCTTTAGCTCATTTTCAATTTGATCACAGTTATGCTTGGCATCAGATGGGTGAAGCCGTTGAACTCGTTTTTCTTCCTTCAAAATAAAAATTTGCGATTTTATTTAAAATCTGAGTAATTTTTTTCTATAAAAGCAATTTTTAGATTATAAAAATACACCAAAAAAAATCATTTACTTCAGCTATGTGTCTCTCAATATCATCCATTTTGCCATCACACTGTTTCGTTTCTCGGTGTACTTTCTCTGCAAGCCTTTGAAGTTTTTCTAACCTGAAATATTTTATGACAAATATTCTCAAATCACAAAAGCAATATGGATTTATATATAAATTGTTGCAAAATCACAGCTAAGGGAACATAAGTTATTCATACATCAGGCCAAAAATTCATAATCCTTTCTTCTCATACCAATATGACACTAGAATTATATTTTCTATTTACACATGCATAGCATGAATGAAACATGATGACTGAACAGTTGGAAGGAGTGTGCGATGAGTTGGTATTATATCATTATTTTTTCAATTGTTTTCAAGTAATTTTCTTTATATGGCTTTAATTATCATTAACAATTTTTCTCACAATTATATTCATATCCATTCCTATTGGCCATTGCTAGTAAAACAATTTTTCCATACTGATTTAACTTTTACTATATAATACTCTTAAAACTTTTTCCAAAACTTTTTTAAACTAAAAAAAAAAAAAAAAAAAACTTAATATTACTAAAAAATTACGGATTTGTAAACTAATAGAATTTATTTAGACTTGAAATTGTAATTCTTTTACTTAATAAATTAAATCTTTTTCTTAATTTAATTTGAAATATAAGAATTTTAATAGGAGTATTCCCCTTTAATTATAATTATATTTAAATAAATTATTGCAGCTTAGGCGCAGGATTCTTAATAATCTTTTCTTACATTTGATTACTTGTTACTATATATATAAACATACATGAACTCTAATTAAATTTCTAATAAATAAAATTTTACCAAAGAACAGCTGTTCAGCTCAATTAGATCCCTCAGGGTAACTGTGACCGCAGTAGGTGGCACTAGACATTTTGCTGTTGCAGGTCTTAATCCTGCTGTCCAGTGACTGCTTAAATTCTAAAAATTTTTCTAACTCTAAATTTTACTGCCCAGAACCTCCCCTAAATTCTAAAAATTTTGATGCTCAGTGCTCTTTACTAAAGACTACAAATTTTCTACCCCTAAATTCTGACAAAAACCCATTTTGTAATAAAGAATCTTTTATTCTGTCTGTTAAGTACAGACGCCACGCAAAAGAGTAGTCAAAATGGTTTCAGGAATGGTAAAAATGGATATTTCCATTAAAATCTAAAACACAATTTTTTAATTACCATGCTTCCTTTACTTCATACAAGGAAGTAATAAAAATCAGGATATATGATTTCATCTAAACAAACAAAAGAACAAAATAACTAACCTTGCAATTTCATCATGGATTGCCTGGTCTCTTTCTTGGTGAGCTAACATTACTCTGTTCCAGTATCTCTCAATGGATTCCATGTGTAATTCATCACTTATTTCCAATGAAATAATGTCTCTATGAGATTTCTGTCAGAGTAGAATGGATATAAAATGTCAACAAACAATGTCATAACAACCACCAGATGTCAAAATTTGTAATGAGTAGATATCATCTTGTTCATTACAAATTATTATATTTAGTGTTTTAATATATTTGAAAAAATTTTATAAATAACTGTAACATACTGATATTCATAATAATATAAAATATTTCATGTCAATTGCTTTCTCTTCTCTCTATCTATTTGTGGGATGTTCAAGAATATGATTTCTTTTCGTTCAATGTTAAACATTTTGCAGAAATAATATATATAAATCTACAGTAGAGTTAAAAAAATTAACCAATGAGGAATATTACAAGTTGGCATCAAGAGAACTTTATAACAGTTTTTTTTTCCTTCCTGGTATTCCCAGATGAGTTCCTGGGATGTTTGACTGTTTCCCAAGATACTGTGATTGGTTGAATGAATTTATGAAAGTTAAAAATCAAATTACCTTAAATGGTTAGAAACTGAATATTAAAATTAAGAAATAAAGGAAAAGATTTTTTTTTAAATAATATTTTCTTTGAGATTTAAAAAATTCAAAATTTTAATATCTGCAATCTAACAGTACTATCTCCTTGTATATTTTAATAAAGTACAGCTAAATCCCAAAGTACTTGTATTTTAGTCGTTAGCATATGTTCTCATACATTAATAAATTAAATTGCTTATTCTCAAAAACTTTTTCATTTATTCTTCAAAAACTTATTCATTATAACTTCAGAAGAGTGAATATTATGCAATTTAGATTAGATTAAGAATGATCAAATTACAATATTTCTCAGGAGAAAGAGTGTCACTAATCAGTGATAGAAGTTCCAGTTTAATTATAACTGAATAACAGATTTTACATTCACTTCGTGGTTATGTACGTGGCATTGAGAATCATATAACTGGATTAATTTAGAAATAATGCACTTCATAAAGATGTACTACTATATTTACCATTTTAAGACAGAGAAATGAGAAAATAACCAGATTAAAAATAAGACTTAAGAGATTCTAACCAAATAAAATGCTAAATTTATCTTATCAGATAAATATGCTTTTTTTTTCATTAAATACTATAAAGAAAAACGTAAGAATTCAAATTTTACCTGAATTTCTCTGTACAGATGAGTTAGCCTTTGTTTTTCATGTAACCTAGGAGGTATGTCTTCCACTCTAAAACGAGTACACTCAGCTAAAAGAGACTAAAACCAAAAACACATCACAAACAAAATATAGTAAAAAACGTAAAAAGATAAAATTTTAACATACGGATTTTGCCAACTAAATAAATAAATAAATAAAATTAAACAATAATTCAGATTTTATGAAAATCAGATTTATATTTGAGATTTTACTAAATATAAATCTAAATTTTAACTGAACCTGGAACTCTAGAAGGAAGCATTATTGACCTACCACATGAATTTACTGCAAGAATTGTTTTTTAACCTTAACCATTTTCCTGCTATAAATTTTTGAAAACTATCAGTCTACTTTAGGACACCCAATATATTGTAATTGGATTATTTGGAGAATAGCTGCAATCGATTGGCGATGGTTTTTTCCATCGCTGTAACTTGGGCAGGCATTGTGTTATAATAACTCGGTGTTGGTTGTGATAACAGGTTTGCATCGTTACCTGAACTGCATAATAAAGAGAAACCAGGTATCATGGCTAAAATTAACGAGACACAATTTATTTCTCGACACTTAATTCTTCTTACACATTCTATATATCAGTTTCACAATAGTAGCATTGGTATTTATGAACAATAGATTCTTTAATCTGATTGGCAGAGAGTTCACCGCACTGCAGCATGTTTATATAAACATGAAACACAGAATGGATTAATTTTCAGATGATGCCCTTTAAAGACCTTATTTTATTCTAACATATTATTTTTAGTTTGACTTTCCTGTCCCTCCAGATTTCAGTTTCCTGCTGGAATGTAAATTTTAAATGACATGGTATGCAAAATCTAAAAATGTTTCAGAAGCAGTATTTAAGCTGCATTTCAAGAGTTCGTGAGAGTAATAGTGGAGTTAGTTCTGAGTTTATGCTGCATGTTTCAAATTAGCTATGTAGTCAGTGTTAGACACCCATCAGATTTACTGAGATTCTAGGCTCTGCTTTGCTGTGTGCAGCCGATTTAGCAGATTAGATAAGTTAAGCAGCCAGTCATGAGCCATTCAAATTTATTTCGATTTGTTACATTTTTATTTTCTTTTAAATTGAGTTCAGCCACAAGTAGTGGTGAATTGCGAGCACAGAATGCGTACATCTTATTAAATTTAGTTCAAATAAAAAGGTTACTTAAAACCTTCTTTTGCTGTATCATTATTCATCAAAGACATACTGAGTATTCATTACTCCATCGTCGATGTAGGGTCTACATTTTATACTTTCAAATAGAGTAAGACTCTATAGTACTTTAGATTAATATATTACTACGTTTAAGGCAGGAAGAGGATGCAGCAAATTAATGTTACTAATTTTTATTTTCATATTTTTTATTATTCCCCCTTTCAAAGAGAAAAATGCTTAGTGATAGAAAAGCTAAAAAAAAAGCATTATTTGATCTAAACTTTGGATTCAAATATTATTTATTCAAATACTAAAATCCGACAGCCTGCTCATTTAACTACCAATCTATATCTTGATTTACAAGAACTTTTCTTCAGAATGTACAAAAATGTAGCCTCCTATCTAAAATTTACTAATTTTAGAACTCTTGCATTTTTAACTAATTAAATTTTCAGCTGCGACAGGTGATAATCTATTTCTTTATATAAGAGCTGCTACAAATGAATTTTTATGCATTACTAATTTCAATTACTTGCTTAATCAAATTCATTCAAAAATATGTGAACAATCTCTCAATAAATTAAATATAACTCTTTTTAACACTATGCTCTTATTTTATAACTTACTTTCATTTCTACTAATGTGTTTGGAAAAGATCTGTCTTGTAACAATGACAGTGATTCCCTCATCCATAAGAAAAGAGAACTTGCTAATTCTTTGTATTCTTCCACCTTGCGTGTTTTCTCCTAAAAAAAGAAAAATTATTTAAACAACGCAGAATGCAAAAGTCACAAACTGAAGAAATTTTTTAATTTTAAAATAAAACACTTTATATGTTTAGTACTTTTTGTTACCAAACAAATTTCTAGTGTGTTTTTGAAACAATAGATGGCGCTACTGCCTCATGATTCAATTATGGTTGCTATGGTAATGAACCTGTCAAGCATGCAATTTATGTGTTCTATTCTTTTTTTATTATTGCTACAGTGTTTTTGAATGATGTGTGCATCGCAAAAATGCTGTGACGTGATGTGGATGGCATTTCTTCTATTTTAAAGTGTTTGTGTATATAAATTAAAGTTAAGGTTACAGTCCATTAGTCTTATTCTTAACAGTATAATAACAAAGCAGGGAAGTGGTTAAGAAAGTAATCTCCAAATTCTAGTGTGTCTGAAAACTGAAACCATTAAATGAAAAACCAGAATAATTATACATGTATAAAACATAAGACTATCAATTAGTTTGGTTTTAATTATCAAAGATAAAAATAATACAGAAAATTAGCTAGTGATCAAAACAGAGCCCATTCTCTTGCACTGCTGCTCAAACATTTTTAAGTTTAGAAAAACTTGAAAAAACTGAATCTTGAATTTTTTCACTACAGAATGTAATAACTTTTATAGAATGACTAAGTACGGTAACTTAAAAGCTAGTCTAAATTGTTTTGAGTTTATTTTTGTTAGATTTGTATTAAGATTACCAAATTAAGTTCTATATGGTCTTTCTCCCGTCTGCCTAGTGTGCCTTCATGGTGTAGTGGTTCTGCATGCTGGGCCGGTATTCTAGAGGTCCGCGGTTCGATTCCCGGCAAAGGCAATTGCTCATTTTTCATCTTGCCTGCTTCAAAAAATACCTAACGTCTCTACAGTTCTTATGTTTGCTAACTTTTTAAGTATACAAGTGAAAAAAAAAAAAAAAAAAAAAAAAAAAAAAAAAAAAAAAAAAAAAAAACAGTTAATAAGTTTTAGTGCTTGATTTTAAATATTTGTATTAAAAGTTATAACGAAGTTGCTTGCATGAAAGTCACAATAGTTCAGTCACTGTTTTAGCAACACATATAAATAGAAACAAAAACCCTGGTTTAAGTCCTCATTGTAACAATATTAAATTTTTATAATACAGTGTGAGAAGTATTTATGAAAATATTATGTAAATAAATGTTTGCAGAAATAACATACACACATTTTATCAAAAATAAAATGTGCATCATTGCTTTTTAATTCTAAAATTCATTAGTTATTTAATTAAATTTAGTTAAGTTCACTTGCAAAATAGAATGAACAAAAAATAGAACAAATTTACTAATTTAATTTTAATAAACAAATTTACTTAAAGAACAGAATTCTATTTCATCTTTTCCTGCATAACCTTGAAAAATTTTTTATCTGAAAATGTAAATGCCAATATGACATGACCATAATATTTAGGATCTAACAAATAAATCATCCTGGACAAGGTGTGAATCAATGATATACCTTAATTTTCATTTAAGCATCCCTGTTTAAAATGCACGTCTTGGTTCTTGAAATCAAAAGAAATAATAGAAAACAGTGGTGGAATGAGTCGTACATTGTCAACATTCTGATATTTCAGTTTCGAAAATGAATAAATAAACATCAGTCTATTCAAGTTATTAGTTTTATTCAAACCGGAAGTTATTAAAAATTTTGGAAAAATATTTCATTTATCAGAAATACCTCTAGCAAAATGCTTCGAAATGCCATGGCAAATTTCAAAGGCATTTTCAAATTTCTTTCTTGAAGTGGAATTCATTCAAAGAGGGAGCAAAACAAAACATAGAACTTCAGTCAACTACAAATCACTAATGCAATAATTTAGAGAAAGATCCTCTGACCTAAATGAAAAGCAGCCTAAGCTTCAGAAACCTTTTGATATTATATTCAACTTATGATTTAAAAACCAATTTAGAAATCTATAAATGTAAGGAAAATAAGCAACTAAAGTTTCAGAATTTTCATCCATTTAAATTATTTGAGAGTTACATCTCAATGAAACTTGCTGCTATTTTTCTCTCATTCTGTATGTCAAGTTCATATTAAAAATAATTGCAAAGTTGATTCTGTCTGAAATAATACTTTTAAGGAATTTTTTCTTCCTCATACTGTGTTTTCATAGTGTACTAAGAGCATCCAGCTAGAACTGGAAGATCCACAGTTCGAATATTGGCAAAAGATTGTTGATTTTTCTTTCTTCCTTCAAAAAATTCTACAGCAACACCTGATGACGTGGTGATAGTAAGAATTTGTCCCCATCTGAATCTGTTGACCCTAGTTTTCTTAGTTTCCCTTTAAATGGGAAAGAATGGAAGAAATTTATTCCCTTCTCACTGCATTCCATCATGATGTAATGGAAGCAAGTTGGATCAAAGTTTGAATCTCAGTGATGACATCACTGATTTTTCATGTTTTATGCTTTGAAAAGATAAGTCATTCTGCACACTAACATATGCATTTCTAACTTTTATACATTATTTTTTGCTAATTCCTTGATCTAACTTGAAAATGAGAGGTTACTATTATATTTTAAAATGTTTAGGGGGGAAACCTAAATTAAAAGGGAGAAGGAATGATGAATTCTTTAAAAAAAATTCAATATGTTTCCAGAAGTAAAAATTTATAATTTTATACAACTTTCTAAATATATGTTAAAAATTGCTTGATTAATTAGCCAATATTAACCAAATCACTAAAAAATACAAAAGAATACTAAGAACAGCAAAACGTTTGCGAGTTTTCATTTCCTAAAGAGGAGGAATGCAGTAAAATATTTAAAATAAAATTCTAACTTACGTCATCAACTGCAAATGGATTATGAGCAGGAGGCCTAGGGAACACATCATATAATGAAGATATGTACGTAATAAGAGATTTTTCATCAGGTTCATGAGTATCGACATCTAGGGTGAACCATTAAAATAAACATTAAATTCTCAATATATAAATTAACTAAATAAATAAATATGACACAAGTTTTAATTTAGTTCAAAATCATTAGAAAATGTAAATAACAAAAGAAGTGTATTCAAAGGTTTTCTGAAAGTCAGTAAAGACAGGAAAATGAACACAATCTTTGCAAAAGTGAAAATTAATATCTTCCTCTCTTCTTTATAATAGAAATATTGTCACATATTACAGCATATACTGATATCACATAAGCATTCTATATGTAGTAGAAACCAAAAGAAACCACGCAACTAAACTTGGAATCTGGTTATGAAACTTTTAGAGTTTCATAAAGTTCAGATCATTTTTTAAAAAATGCAATAAGAATAAAAACAAGAGTAAATAAAAATGAATTCAAAAAAGCACATCAAACTAATTCACTTCTTTTTTTTTATCTCTTTTATATAAATATGCACATTTAATACATATAGTTTCTTTACATAAAGGATAAAAAGTACATAAAATACACAATAAGGATAAAAAGCATGCAAGAAATGTTTTTTCTCATTTTTTAAATATTTCTTTATAGCACTTCAAGATATTCTATTCTAAAATCCTTTCAATTAAAATTATACAGTAATTACACTCTTAGACAAAAAAAAAAAAATAATAATGCACCACAATGCGCCAAGAAGATATAAAGCAAATTGGACACAAATTGATATGCAAATTGATGGACACAAATTGAAATGCAAAATTTGACATTTTGGCTGCCAATGAATGAACAGTTGTCGCTACAGCGCATCTGATCTGCGCAACTGGCAGGATATTTAAGAGGACAAATTACGATTCCAGGTCATAAATTCTTCACAAATGTCATTCTGTGTACTCTGGTAGACAGTAACTATGCCTCACATACAGGTGCGCAAATGATATGCGCAGATATCAGAATTTGAGTGAGGTCGTGTAGTTGGGCTCAAAGAAACCGGTCTGTCTTATCGGCAAATAACTCGACATTTGAGCAGAAGCGATGCCACTATTAGAAGATGATGGCAGGAACAGGTGAACCATGGCCACACACAGCATCAAGAAGGAAGCGATAGGCCTAGAAAAACGACAGAACGGGAAGACCAAGCAATCGTCAGAGCAGCACTTGCAGCCTCAGATGCATCATTATCATCAATTGTACGTGCAAATAGTGCTTCAGTGACTGCAAGGACCATTCATAGACGGCTCCCAGAAAGGAGGCTGAGGTCACGGCACCCCTTGAGTCGACTACCATTGACCTCTGTACAACGAACGTCAAGCCCGTTTGTGGTGGTGTCGGGCTCATTCGCGCTGAAATGTCACCGACTGGGGATGAATAGTCTTCAATGATGAGTCCAGCTTTGAACTGAGCCCTAATGACCAGCGAAGGCGAGTCTGGATACGCCCTGAACATCGGTGTGATACCAATCTGTCTTCCGGCAGACAGGTCGACAACCAGGAGTGATGGTCTGAGGTGCCATTTCATTTCATAGTAGGACCCCTTTGGTTGTCATCCGTCGCAACATTACAGCACAGCGGTACATTGACAAAGTTCTAAGGCCCGTTGTGTTGCCCTTCATGTCGCATCACCCTGGGCTTATATTTCAGCAAAATAATGTTCACCCCCACACTGCACATATTTCTACTGCTTGCCTTAGTGCTTGCCGAACATTACCTTGGCCAGCAAGATCACCGGATCTCTCTCTTATTCAGCATGTTTGGAGCATTATGAGCAGGGTTCTCCAACCAGCTCGGTATGTAGACAATCTAACTTGCCAGTTGGACAGAATTTGGCACGATATCCCTCAAAAAGGACATCACGGAACCTCTATCAATTGATGACCAAGCCGAATAACTGCTTGCATAAAGGCCTAGAGGTGGACAAACGCGTTACTGACTTTTTCACTTTGTGAAGCTCTATCACTTCAATAAATCATCTAATTTTTCTCAAACTGTAACCATTTGTTTTTCTGTACACATACATCACTCGATTTTCGTCCCATTTAAATAACTCATTTTTAGTGCATCTGTTTTTGTTTTTTTTTTGTCTAAGAGTGTACCTCTTGATAAGTTGTACAGATTTATTATTCAAAATCCCATTTTATTACTAATAATATTATTAGTAATAAAATGGGAAATATATAATATATAATACTTATAAGAAAATCATGAATTTATTCTGAATTTCACAGTTTGATAAGAGAAAAAAGTGTGGTTTTTATTTCTGGTCAAAATAAAATTTTAAAATTCAGCTACTTTTCAGAAAACTGGGTGAAGTCATCATCAAACATAAATGATGGAACTGCTCTCTGTGTCATCTGCTACAACTTGCAAATCATCATCATCTTTGTCATTGTCATTATCGCTGTTCAGTCAGTCTTGCTGCATGCTATGATCTTCAGAACCATCCAAAGCATTTTCTTAAACTCTTCACTACTGCATTGCTTCACTATTGCTGCTCTTCACTATTGAATTCAGGGTTATCATCATAATCATTCAGGACACCGAAAATCCATGAGCAAATCAATTAGCAAAATGAAAACAACCACTATGTGGATGAATTCAATTAAAAATTTAAAGAATTTCACTTTCTGACCCTTGAAATTACATAAATGCTTAAAAATTCCATGAATGTTTAAAAAAAATTTTTCAGAAACCTGTGCTAATATGCTAGGAATTCTGTAAAGGGGAAAATACGTGAATGAGCATGATAATTGTGGTTATTTGAATAAAATCATTCATCTATGCAGAATTCCATTTCCTTTGAAAGAATACACTGACAGACTGTGCATTATTTGGCAGCTGTCAAATTAAAAATCCATTTTAGGTCCTCAGTCAAAATATTGCATGAAACATCACATATGAATAAAGTTTGGTATGGTTCATGGTATAAGCTGCTATCCTGAGATGCTTGTGAACATTTTGACTGGTGTTGTGTCAATGGAAGAGTACAAAACTTCAAATTACTGCAGCCGTGCTCATTAGAAACAGCACTTCATTAGGCTTCATTAATAGGTACAAGTTTTGTAACTTTGGGGAAAATAATAATATAGCAACAGTTATAAAAGCAAATTATCAACAGAATGTGATATCTGCATTTTGCTATTATATCTGGGAGGTAGACCAGATTTTGTGCATTGGCCATTTTCAATCTCCTACTGTAAAGTGTAATGACTTATTCCAGTTTTCCAAAAAAGGTTGAAATTGCAATGTACAATAGATAATATCGTCCTACATTTCAGACACTAATATACTACATCACAAAAACAGAGTAAAACAGTTTACTGCATATATATATATATATAAATATCAGGCTATAGACTTACATATTTTTAGAATATAACACAGGAAAATTAAATACCTTCAGGATCTAGAAGTTTAGTTACATTAAGCTCTCTTTCTGCTATTGTGAAAGCAGAATCTAGATTGTCTCTCGCAGATCGTTTCAAACAAGAGCGATAATCTACAAGATCAGGCCTAAAAAATAAAATTTTTAAAAATGTCACAGGTAGCCAATCATGCAATGAAAAAAAAAAAAAACTTTTCAGTTTTATTTATTTTCTAAACTTAAACAGAAAAACAACATTCTTCTAAATTCTAACTCAAGACTTCTGTGGAAAAACATACATGACATGTAGATGATACCTTAAAAAAATTATTTTGGGATCTGAATAGTTTTTAACTGCAACACAATCTTTTTTTGCTACGCAGCCCTCACTACGCAAAACTTCACAATGTGCAGTGCCTTACAGTATTTTTCTAGGGTTGGCACTAGAGGTGGTGCAACAGGTAGGTACTATTTATAGTACAGTAGTTCTCAACCTGTTCTTTCCTTTCACCCTTTCACCATTGCTAGATTATCACCACTCTTTACCAAAACTTGAAAAATACATATATATTTATTTAGATTATTTTTAATATGTCTTATAGATTAAACAACCAAAAAAAATTTTTAATGTTGATAAATATGAAAACTTGAATAAAAATAGTTTTTTATATTCATAAACTAAATATTTAACAGCTAGATAAATGGCTGACCATACTCCCCCTGACTGAGAGTCCAATTTACTAGCTTCAGAATTTGCATACAGCAATATATTTCACTGGGCTTGTACTTCAGATCAACTGTTTACCCTGTGAAGAATGCCAAATATTTTTAATTTCTTTGCTAAAGCAATGTTAAAATTTGCTCCCTATTTAAATTCATACAAAAGTAATATAAAGTCATATACACAAAAAATTCATTTATTTTCATCATGTCCTGTACATATTTAATCACATAACTTTTACATTTATTAAAAAATTTTACCAACCTTTATGTTCAACAATATATATTACACAACACTTCATACACTTAATTAACTTTTCTGTTAGTGAAGCATCACTTAACAACAAGCATAAATGTTGTCACGAAATTTAACTACATGGCAGCTACCATAACGATAAGTAAAACATTTAAAAAAAAAAGTAATGTATCATATATTTATATATAATGTTAAATGTGCACAATGTTAAATTTATGCAAGTATCATTGCCCCCCCCCAAAGTGGAAACGGATTGCTGTATACATGGGGAAAACTGGTGTATAATGCCGAATTTATGCAATTTTCTGATTTTTTTGAAGTGAAAACAGATCATTGTTCACTTGGGGAAAACTAGCATTCTATCTTCAAATAGAAAGTATTGGAGACTAACATGAATTCAACATTGTGCAGTTACTCATGACTTAATACACCGCTCGATGTTGAAAATGCAACACAAAGAAGGAGTGGTCAGAAAGTGATGAAATTTGGAAAAAAGACAGAGACAGCAAGCAGCAATAAGTGATCTTTATTTCAAAATAATAGTCAGAATACAGACTGAGAACGGCGTCACTCAGTAGGATATAGGACCACCGCGGACAGCGATGCACGAAGAAACATGTCTAGACATAGAGTCAATAAGAGTGTGGATGGTGTCCTGAGGGATTCCATTCCCTTTTAACCATTTACCGCAGTACATTATCCAAGTATCCTTGGGCCGTCATAGTGCCCTGAATATGAACTAGATACTTTTTGATATACATACATACTTTTTGATAGAGGTCACCTGGAATCATAGGCAATAGCACCGCAAACCATTATGCCACGTTGACGCGCGGTGGGGCATTCCACAGTTACTGCCAGATTAGATCTGTCTCCACGTCGACACCACACACATATGCGGCGACTGCCACCGGATAAACAGAAGCGTGACTCATCCGAGAACACAACATTTCGCCATTCTGTCATCCATATCGCTCCAGTCCGGCACCGTTCTAAACGTTGGCGTCTGTGCTGTGGGGTCAATGTCAGTCTTCTTAATGGACACCGTGAGTGCAGGCCATGTTCAATCAATCAACGGGAAATGGTTATGGTCGACACGGTAACATCCAGGGTATCTTGCACATGCTGCAGAATCGCGGTACAAGTGACTAGCGGCATCACAGCTTATCGGTGGATGCGTCAATACATGCATGCTGACGTCACTCTGGCTGCACCTGCAGCCCTCCTTCTTCCCATATTTTCTTGTTCCAACCATGTTCGCCATAGCCGATGCACTGTACTTGAATCCATGCGGGTATCAGCTGCAATTTGACGTAAGGACTAACCCGCCATTCTCAGTCCAATTACCATACCCCTCGTAAAATTATCTATCTGCTGGAAGTGGCTTCGTTGACGGCGGCCTGGCCATTCTCTCCTATTATACGTATCCTCTGGTACGAAAACCAACTTTCTTTGCTAATTTGTCTGGCAGAAATTAACGACACAAATATTGCCCATTCTGCAAGTTCCATACTTCCCTTACATCTTACTTCACGTGCATCAGAGAGCTGCGCATTTCACATCCTTCACATAACTCAGTGATGTGCATCTACTCTAAAATTTGCATAAATTTCTGACCACTCCTTCTTGGTGCTGCATTTTTAATGTCGAGCAGTGTATAAACAGGCTACCAAATTTGGCAACTGGTGCCCCTTTTAACAGAAAAGTACCCAGCTTTAATTTAATATTCAAAATGCACTAATTTATTGACACGCTTTGCGGGTTTCCATGATGATCGTGGGAGAGGTGTCATCTACTGATGAAAAGTGGAAGTGCTGCCATTTCTGTCAGCTAGCATCGAACTGCAGATCTTTTGATTTGCAAGCAAAACTAAAAGCATGCTCTAAATATGTGCACTAAATACATTAGGCTATTTAAATAAGAAAGCGACACTGTTTTCTCACTTAAATGATTTGGCATTTCCTCAGTTAAATGGCTAATTATTTAACCATTCTAATGCCTTTAAATTTCAGAATTCCTAATGCATGTGTTCCTAGGCTGACCATATGCACTATTTTAAACAGGAACCAAAACCAAAGTGAAAATCTTATTTTACTGTGTTATAACATAATGCTTATTCATTGCTGGTGCTAAATCCCTCTGTTCGGTGGCAATTTTTGTTTTCCAAAATAGTTGATGGAAAAATAAGTAAGTACCAAATAAGCTTTTACTAGGCACTTACAAATTATTGCACAGAACCTGTAATCATATATCAATAACATGGAAGTCAGGATAACTGTAATATGGGATATTTTATTAGTACTAATATCTGAAGTTTCAGAGCCTCGAAGAAATTACTAGTGGATATTTGATTAGATAAATTAGGTAGTTCAAGAAAAACTTTTAATTTAAACTGCAGAAAATAGGCAAAATATGAAAGGATAAGTCATAAGCAATACACGCACACATACTTTCTGATAATAACAACTAAATTACTGTCACAGAAAAAAAAGGGGGGAAAAGAGAGTGAGAACCTTTACACAAGCGTGAATATAAATTCAGGAAAATAAAGTCCGAAGTGACAGAAATTAAGTTCATATTTTGGACACATAGAAAACTGGTACTTTCTTATTATAGCGACCCTCATGACTGAATCTCTAATCAATTGAGATACCTCGCTGAAATCTTGCCACGTGTTCTTAAACTTCACATCATGTTACATCTTGGTTGACTAGCAATTAAATTTTGGGGGGCACTACAATGAGGAAGTAGCAGAAAAAGACTTGACAATTCAAATGAATGTGCTAAGAATCCAGAAAATTTCTGTATCTAATAGATAATTACACAATTTTTCTGAAATGACAAAAAGTGGACCCAATTTTCAAAGTTTTCTTCAATATTATATTATTTACATTCCAGAAATTCACAAAATACGTAACACTTATTTAAAAGAGTATTTTCTCTTATGAATAGCATGCATCCAAAGAAGAAATCTATATTAGGCACAATGAAAGCAATGCTAAATTGCAATGCTCAGTACGAAGACCGTAATCCGGACGTGCATTATCCGGAATGATCTATAATCCAGACCTCAAAGCCACAAACTTATTTTTTTGTATGCTTTACGGGTGTGCATAATTCATTTACGCATGCGTGTTTAATGTATAACGGATGATATAAGCTAGGCTAAAATTATCTTTACTGATTCTAAGGTATTTCAGTTAATGTTGCAGATTGCACTGTTCCTTAATCTTCTAATTGGATCTGGCTTATTATTTTTTGCAGAATGTTAGAGCAATTTTATAAAAATTAAGCTTGAACTTTCGATTATGTCAAAAAGAGTTTCCAATTCTGGAGCTGCCCAATCATCAATCAAACGAACGGCGAAATCTGTAGCACGGTTCTAGGTCCAAAAATACCGTTTCCGATAGTGAAGAAAGTGACAGAGAAGTTACTGAAAACGAAAAAATTTTGATTGGCAAGTTAGTCGGTATTCTCGACACAGAAATTACATGACTTGAACAGTGGAACTTTGTAACTGAACAAGAAGTTATGTGTGTTTATAGAATTAAAGAGAAAGTATTAGCACAAAAAACGAAGCAACTTAAACAACTTACATTGAAAGAAATCTTTAATAAAATAAACAAATAAATATTAAGCTCCTTTTTTTTTTGTAAATTTTGATAACCTTTAGATCATAACTGCTATTTATTTCATAAATTACGGTTTCATATTTTTAATTGTATTATTTCTGCATGCCATCTTACCAGATTTAAATTGATGATCTATAATCCGGAAAAAAACCTAATCTGGAATCACCGAAGTCTCGATTACGGACTTTGTACTGTATTACAGAAGGTCGGATAATGGTCAGATAAGAAAATTGTGATAAGGTGTACTAAGACAAATGCTGTATACATATAAGGTAACTTCATCAGAGAAATATTTATAATATAATCATGGTCAAATAATATTAACCTCTCAATGTACCTTACTTTCTGTACGGGTTCTCCTACTGGAAAATAATGATAAGTTCAACATGTTTATGTTATACAGTACAAAGTCCGTAATCCGGACGTCCATTATCTGGAATGATTTATAATCCAGACCTCAAAGTCACAAACTTTTTTTTAATGCGTTTACGCATGCGTGTTATGCGTTTACCCATACGTGTTTAATATATAACGGACGGTATAAGCTAGGCTAAAATTATCTTTACTGATTCTAAGGCTTTTCAGTTAATGTTGCAGATTGCACTGTTTCTTAATCTTCTTATTAGATCCGGCTTATTATTTTTTTGCAGACTGTTAGAGCAATCTTATAAAAATTAAGCTTGAACTTTCGATTATGTCGAAAAGAGTTTCCAATTCTGGAGCTGTCAAAGGATCTACAAAGCGAAAGCATGTTTCAATGTACCGCTTTTCGATAGTGAAGAAAGTAACAGAGAGGTTATTGAAAACGAAAGAATTTCGATTCACAAGTTAGTCGGTATTCTCGACACAGCAATTACAGGACTTGAACGAAACTGAACAAGAAATTATGTCTGTTTATAGAATTAAAGAGAAAGTATAAGCACAAAAAACGAAGCAACTTAAACAACTTACATTGAAAGAAATGTTTAATAAAGAAACCAAATAAGTATTAAGCATTTTTTTTTTTTTTTTTTTTTTTTTTTTTTTTTGTAAATGTTGATACTTTTTAGATCATAATTGCTCTTTATTTCATAAATTACGGTTTTATATTTTTAATTGTATAATTTCTGCATGCCATCTTACCAGATTTAAATTGATGATCTATAATCCAGAAAAATCCCTAATCCGGAATTGCCAAAGTCCCGACATCTCCGAATTACGGACTTTGCACTGTATAGTACTTTTGTCATCCAACATTTACTCCAACATCAGCTGCACACACAGTCCCTGGATAAACCCATTGTTATAGATGGATGTGGTCATAATGTAATGGCTCTTCGGTGTGTTCAAATTGCTTATATTATTAATCAAAGTGAAACTGTTCAACAATTGATTTAACAATCAGCCATACTGAAAATCTTTAATATTTGGCAACATTTACTTTCGACTGTCAACCAAATTTAGTGACATTTCAGGAAAGGGTAAAAAAAAATTTTTGTAACTAGCATGTAGGTACGTAACTTTTTGTAACTAGTACGTAACTAGCAGCACAGAGCAAAGTACTGAAAAGATTACTAAAGTTATAGCCAGCTGAGGAAACAAAAACCCTGCATTTAAATATATTCGTACAAATTCAGAGAATAATGCTATTGCAAAAAGTTGCTCAGCTTGATAAATCATAGACAGAGTATCTCGTGTGCAAAATAGACAATAGCTTTTTAAGACGCATAGTTTTTGAAGTGCTGGTTGAAATTTTAGTAATTTAATTATTTACCTATTTCTATGAATAATGGCATTAAATGCAAGTCCATCTCTCCAGCTCCTAGTGAAGTCACCCACACGAACTCCAGGATACTTGTCTGTAGTTCTTTGGGCCCAACGTAAAAGAGCTTCTTTTGCAGTAATCCTTTCGTCTGTTTGATGAGTTATGATATCTGATATCTAAACAGGAGTAAAAACAAAAGCTTAACATCTTGTGCTCAAAACACTTTCTACAACATAAGTGAATAACAGTAATAAAATAAATGAAAATTTTACTATAAAACATTTCAAAACATGAATCAAAAATAAACCCAGATCATAAAGCCCTATTTGCCTGCTTTTAGCATAAGGAAAGTCCTTGATAGGATGACTCAATGGTTAACTCATCACCTTAACAACAACAATGTTCTGAGAGCAACCCAGTCTGACTTATCAAAGGATGGAGTATGATGGTAGATGCTTTAAATAATGTTCAAAATATTTTTTCAACAAAGTAGAACAGAACAACATTATATATGTATTTTCACTAAGGATGCAGCTTCAGCCAGGTCTGGTGGCCAGCGATGAAAACAAACACCACGTATTAAAGTGCCCGAGGAACCTATATAACACGGTGGCCACAGTGCGACTAACAAGCTGAATCAACACCTCGTAGACATTAAACATTTGACAAGGCCATATTTTCAAAAGTATTTTGCGTATACACATGAAAGATATACTATTAAGAAAACCAGAAACTTACAAAGTTTATACACCCTCTACAAATATTCAGTATGTGCCCCTTTGGTGACATGACACACTTCTAAACAATGATCAAGCTCATTGCATACATTTTGTAGCATTGTTGTCCAGATGTTCGGAATACCACAAAAAAAGTGTGTGTAAGATATTGTGTCAACAGCTGCATTTCAAACCATACCATGTGTAGCTCCTGCAACAATTAAAAGTCAGAGAATTACACCCGTTGACTAGATTTTTGTGTCAACATTGGAGGACGAAGATTACACCACCAAGACGATATTCAGCAATGAAGCAACATTCCACTTATCAGGGAAACTTCGTTTAATAGTGAAAAAAAACTTGGTGAGTTTGTGGTTCTCTTCATATATTTTTCATGTGTGTACTCATAATACTTTTGAAAATATAGCCTTTACAAAATGATTGAATCATTTATGCTAACCCTGTACTTCAAGGTGTTGGCTGAGTGCGATTCTCACAGGCTAGCAGTGTGGTTCTTACGCAGATAAAATGTACGTATGAAGCATAGGGTAAAATTAAACTACTCAAGGTCCAAAAGAAACAATTTACTTTCATTTCCTTTTACAAAGTTATTGGCTAACTTAAACTGATCGATGTCCAAACGTAATTATTTTACTTCTTGTTAGTTAAGAAACTTAATAAATATTATTCAAACCTATTACAAAAAATAAAAATATTGTACTGATTCTATCAAACAATTCTGTAAAGAAAATCTTCAAAAGTTAGATTTGTCTAAGGATGCTTTACAAATTGATGGACAGTTGCTTGCGAATGCTTTTCAAATCATTATCAACAGTAGAAACTAAATTTGTGGTTTGTGATCGAAACAGAAAACAGATGTCGTCGATCAGAAACATTTAATATCATACATTTGATATAAGTTAAGCTTTAGAGAATTTCTAATAAATATGATGACAGTCACAGCTTAGAAGACAGTGTTATCTTCAGAAAATTTCTTTTTGGAAATTTATTGAACTGGAAGAAAATAGCTACTTTAATGTTCATTAACAGAAAATGATACAAAATGCTTAATACAGTAAGACCCGCTTAATGCGAGGGATACGTTCCATCAAAGTATGGCGTAATGCAAAACAGCGCTAAACGAGGCTATCTTTACATGTAAATATTGGGGTTAGGAGAAGATGGCTAGGAAATTGGTTAGGTATTAAATTTAAAAAGTATGTTTTTTTAATAAAAATAAAACCAAACATTTATTTCTTTAAAGCCCAAATTAATACCACATTATTATTTCTTGCAAAAATAAAAACAAAATATAAATAATAAAACGAATATTCTTAAAAAAAAAATAATAAAAAATAAATAAATAAATAAAATTCTCAGTCAGTCATATTTAGTTAGCCTTCCGCGTTTTCAGTGTTCTGCCTTTTTGTGACAAAAGCATCTAATGTTGTTTGCCTTTTTCTTTTGCATTGTTGTTCTCTTAAAAGTTCTTCATAAACGGATAGAGCATCTCTAACACCACGCCTTACTTTTGAGCTCCTGTCAAAATTCGGATCATTTTCAATGAATTGATCCATTATTTCAGTTATGGTAGACAAACTCCTTTTTACAAACGCCATCGAAAGTTCTTTTTGCTCTTCTTCTGAATCACTGCTGTCAACATTTTTGTTTTCTTCTTGTTCAGTTAATTCCTTGAAGCTCATCATTAGAAAGACTAGCCGCTGCTTCTTGAATTATTTCTTCGACATCTTCCACATTTACTCCTTCAAAATATGTCTGTACAATACCGCACCAAACAAGAAATACAAGTACACTCTTTCGGATATGTATTTGAAACCTATCGCTGCATAATATTTCGTGGAATCCCTGTATGCTGCGAGCGATTTCGTGGAATCCCCGGGTTGAAATAAAAGAGCGCTAAACCGAAACAGCGGTAAACGAAACAGCGTTAAGCGGTGTCTTACTGTATTTTAAAAAAAAAAAAATCAAAATTCTGCCTTAAATACGCTTAATTGATTTGCATATTGGTGACAGCTCACGAGAAGGAGAACTGATAGTACAGTTCCAAATCATAAAAAGTGGGTTAATTAATATAAAATGTATTCTGCAGCTAACTTTACTAAAAAGTAGAACAAAAAGAAAAATCTTGCTTTATTTACGTCAATAAATTGTGAAAATTTGCTAAAACGAGAACTTGCATTCTATTTCCCTTTATAACATCAAAAATTATTTTATTACATATTTATTTTAATAATTTAATGTAATTAAGCTTAAAAAATCCAAGTTTTCAGATTTCATATTAGGCCTAAAGGGGCCTTTTTTAAACTGTTTTGTGTGTTACCATTATTTATTAAATATCATGTTCCTTAAACCATAAAATTCAATTAAACAGCAATATCACAAAATAATTTAAAATGAGCATTTCTTTAGAATTTCGGATACAAGTCTCCAGTACTGGAAATAGAATTTCCTAGCTTCCTCCCGGTACAGTGTTGCCATTGCTCGCTTTGAAATCGTTGAGTTTTCTTAATCATAAATTGGTAAAGTTTTACAAAATATGAAATAGATAAAAAAATCTAAAAGCTTTCAGATTTTACATTACGCACAAAGGGGCATTTTTTTTAACGTTTTGTGGGTTACCTTTATTTATTTACTATTATGTTTTTCGCACTTAAACCATTAAATTCAGTTCAACAACAATATCGCAAAATAATTTTAAAATAAGCATATCTTTAGAATTTCCGATACACAGTCTCACGCACTGGAGATAAAAACGTTTTTTCCCATTGTACAGTGCTGCCATTGCTTGCTTTGAAATCGTCGAGTTTGTTAATCAAAAATTCGTTAAAGTTTTACAAAATATGAAATAGATAATAAAACAAATTCCAAATGTGGGCTTACAGATGCCCATATTCAGGCGGAACGTACGTTATTCAAAATTTGATGGCTCTAGGTACCGTCGTTTTATCACAATGCAAGAAACATACATGCATTTATGCAGATTCTTTATTATTTAACTTCTTTAAATATAATACAGGGCTGTAATATTTGGTGGCAACAGTTTGAAAAGTGAACCGACATTTAAAGTTTTCAACGCAAAATGCCAAAATGAAATTAATATCCCTTTTGGGCTAACGGCTTTTGGGCTAAAAGAAAAGGATTAAGTTTTTTTAACTTGTATCAGTTTATCTTGTGATACAAATTATTAAGCAAGTTACAGTTAAGTTAAACTAATTACAAGTTGAACTTTCATCGGTTATATCTTGTGATACAAGTTAAAATAACTTGATTAATCTTCAAGAGAAGGCACGACTGGCTTTCACATAATCCAGTGGTTCTAGAACAAACCACTGTCCAATGATTTTGCCATTAATTCTGCTATAGCTATTCCGTCACATCCTATACACTATCCCTCCCGCTTTTAAAAACTCACCAAAAGTTTTTAAAAACGGGAACGATAGTGTATACGCTTAAAATAAATATCGATTAAGATTTTTTGAAATTCTCCCAATAATAATCGGATTGGATTTGTAGGCTATTTTCTAATTAATTACTTTTGTAAGAAATCTTATAAATTACAAGATCAGGAACTGCTAAAATTATTACTAAGCTGTTTCAAATTTATTTGATATGAAACTAAATCCAATAAATACGACCCCTGTAGCATTAACATTTTCCAGTCTATTCATAGTTCGGGCCATTTCATAGCTCGGATTTATTTCAAATTCATAAGCTTTAATTGCTTTATGATTAGCCGTAACTACTAATCTATGTGAATTTTCACTATCGGCTACATTTAAATTTTTATTACTGAGCTCTGAATTTTAGTCATACATTTCTTTCACGCTGAAACAATACGCTGCAATGACTATAAACGATGTCAAAACATTTACAGCAATCAAATTGACGAAATAAATCTGTCATCAGTCCAGTGGAACATCAGAAGAAACTCTGGAATTATCTAAGTTTTAAGATACGCTTCACTAACATCAATTAATAGCTTTAAGGTCTTTCAATCTATTTGACCTTAAGTTCAAAGTACCTTCCATAATCATAAACAAATGTTATGAAACAAAAGAGCATAAGCACTGAGAAGAAAGTGAACAATACCTGACAGCGATGACATTGAAGACAAGCTCATTGTTGCTTTGAATGAAGTTATAAATTTTTTGCCATACAGCTGGCTACAATACGAACGAAAGCTACAGATAAGTAACATCAACAGATGACAGTTTTAACTGTTGTAAATACCGTTTATACACACACATGTCCACAACGAGTTCACAAATCGCATCTTCTTTTCAAGAATGCGTAACATCGAATCGTAATGTTATGCGTGAATGAAGATTAAAAATTACATATTCGTTGAAGGGCACATGCAAATAGATTCTTCATCGAATAAAAGAAAAAACTTTTCGGCACCATTCAGCAAAAGGAAAACGAAAACTGCAATTTAAAAA